CTGTGTGGATTCTCTTTGGAATTTCTGCATAAACAATGCTAACTGAGAATAGTTCATTTATTCCTTTAAGCTCTCTACATCTTTTATTTTCTTGCTTAATGAACAGCCTAGGACTTCCAGGATGACCAATTTGCTTTTTATTCACTAGTCTCACTTAACAAATTATATTTTTCTAATCTCCCCTTCCATAAAAATAAACTCCTTAAAAATAAACCTCTGGATGGATTTTAGGGATCCGTAAATCTTTTAAAAATATAACATTTTGTTGGTATGTAGATCTGTATTTCCTTGAAGGAAGTGGGTTCATAGCTTACATGACTGTCAAAGGAATTTATATCATCGAAAGGATTAAGGAGCTAAATCTTTAGTAAAAGCACAGGTATAATTTCCATGATCTTGTTTTTCACATATACAACAACCAGAGTTATTAAGAACAGGGTTTTGTTTTTTGGCTGTGCCATGTGGGATCTTAGCTCCACAACCAAGGATCAAACACATGGCCCCTGTAGTGGAAGCTCAGAGTTTTAACCACTGGACTGCCAGGGAAGTCCCCCAAGACAAGTGTTTTTTCCACCTTGCCCTCTCCCCACTCAACTGGAAAGAATAAATAGTTCTCTGCAGATTTGACTCCTGTGTTAAGCACAAATTCAAATGTTGTTAGGCATTGGTGGTAGGACATGCTTAGAATGCAGAAAAAATATAGCCCCACTAAGGCCAATACCTTATTTCAAAGCCCACAAAAATAAAAATATACCAAGAAGGGCATAAGGGGGAAAAACTGACTGTTTATGCACATGTCAAAGCTTATTAAGACACTTTCAAACCTGTGCTCCCTGCAGTGGAAGCACAGAGTCTTAACTACTGGACCACAAGGGAAGTCCCAGGACACTTTTGAGAAACTGAATAAATCATGTCAAGAACTCTCATTCACAGAAATACAAAATGATTAAAAATTTGCCACACTTTTATCTCCTTAAGTTTGGTTTACATCACCCTGCCTATTTAAACAAAAAGTTACAAGTAGGTTTGGACAAAACCAGAGACAAACAATAAGTAGGTTTATTTTTAAGACTTTTTTTTCAAACAACTATAAATGTTAAAGCATTGTCATGAAAGCATTACATGAAAATCTTGTCCTGAAATTAATAAGCATATTTATATTTTTAAGAGTCTTATAATGTATATAGTTCTATATTAGATTTCATTATCTCCTTTGTTGAAGGAACATCTTATTATGAGACAATGTTAGTGTTAGGATGGATAATTAGTAGCAATCACTTGACAAGAGAATTTAGTGAATCCTAGTGAAAAAAATATTGTCTTTTCGAAACAGATTAGTGGGAATTCCCTGGTGGTCCAGTGGTTAGGACTCCATGCTTCCACTGCATGGGGCATGAGTGGGTTTGGTCCCTGGTGGGGGAACTAAGATCCCACAAGCCACATGGATTGGCCAAAACAAACAAAAAAGTATTAGGGATCCAAAGGAAGATACACAAATGACTAACACATGGAAAGATGCTCAACATCATTGGTCATTAGAGAAATGTATCAAAACCAAAATGAAGCTATGGCTGTGTATCTATAGGATGGCTATTAGCTGAACAGTAGCAAGGTTGGCAAGGATATGGAGAATTAGGTCCCCAACACATGGATGGTGAGAATATAAAGTAATGCAACCACTTTGGAAAACATTTTGGCATATCCTCAAAATGCTAAACTCAGTCGCAGTATGACCTAGCAATCTCCCTCTTTGCTATATCCGAGAGAGCTGAAAACATACATTCACACAAAAACATGTGCACTAATGTTCATAAAACGTAATACCCAAAATGGATACTATGCTGCTGATGGAATAGATAAACGAAATGTGGACCAGCCATACAGTGGGATATTATTCAACCATATTAAGGAACGAGGTACTCATTAAGGCTTCAACATGGATGGTCATGAAAACACTATACTAAGTGGAAGAAGCCAGATACGAAAAACCACATATTGTATGATTCTATTTATATTAAATCTCCAGAATATGCAAATCTATAGCAACAAAGTGGACTAGTGATAGCAAGGGGCTAGGAGAAGGGAGCAACAACAGTTAGAACTGGACATGGAACAATAGACTGGTTCCAAATAGGAAAAGAAGTACGTCAAGGCGGTATGTTGTCACCCTGCTTATTTAACTTACATGCAGAGTACATCATGAGAAACGCTGGGCTGGAAGAAGCACAAGCTGGAATCAAGTTTGCCGGGAGAAATACCAATAACCTCAGATATGCAGATGACACCACCCTTATGGCAGAAAGTGAAGAGGAACTAAAAAGCCTCTTGATGAAAGTGAAGGAGGAGAGTGAAAAATTTGGCTTAAAGCTTAACATTCAGAAAACTAATATCATGGTATCTGGTCCCATCACCTCATGGGAAATAGATGGGGAAACAGTGGAAACAGTGTCAGACTTTATTTTGGGGGGCTCCAAAAATCACTGCAGATGGTGACTGCAGCCATGAAATTAAAAGACGCTTACTCCTTGGAAGCAAAGTTATGACCAACCTAGATAGCATATTAAAAAGCAGAGACATTACTTTGATGACAAAGGTCCGTCTGGTCAAGGCTATGGTTTTTTCAGTAGTCATGTATGGATGTGAGAGTTGGACTGTGAAGAAAGCTGAATACCAAAAAATTGATGCTTTTGAACTGTGGTGTTGGAGAAGACTCTTGAGAGTCCCTTGGACTGCAAGGAAATCCAACCAGTCCATCCTAAAGGAGATCAGTCCTGGGTGTTCATTGGAAGGATTGATGCTGAAGCTGAAACTCCAATACTTTGGCCACCTCATGCGAAGAGTTGACTTGTTGGAAAAGACCCTGATGCTGGGAGGGATTGGGGGCAGGAGGAGAAGGGGACGACAGAGGACGAGATGGCTGGATGGCATCACCAACTCGATGGGCATGAGTTTGAGTAAACTCCGGGAGTTGGTGATGGACAGGGACGCCTGGCGTGCTGCGATTCATGGGGTTGCAGAGTCGGACACGACTGAGCTGAGGAGAAGGGAAGAATGGGAAGTGACTGCTAATAGGTATGGGATGTCTTTTGGTTGGGGTGATGAAAGTGTTACAGAATGGGGTAGTTGCACAATCTTGTGAATACGATTTTTAAAATGGACTGTACATTTTAAAATAGGGGATTTTATGATATGTGAATTACAGCTTAATAAAGAATAGGAAGGTCTGTATGTTCTAAGGTGGTATAATATCTAAAATAAATTAAATGAAAAAAAATGACAGAACAGTTTGCATGGTATGCTACCATATGCTTAAAAAAAGCACACACACATCCAAACCAGTAACATTCTTTCATAAAGGGAGGCAATCCAGCAGTGACTAAAGAACAGGGTGGCCTGAAAGGGAAGCCTACAGATCTTCCTCGACTTGTGCTGGGGCTACAGCCTGATAAATCTATCATAAGTTGAAAATATCCTAAGTCAAAAATGTGCTTAATACACCTGGCCTACCAAACATCACAGCTTAGCCTAGCCTACCTTTCCCCCCCCCACACACTGTGGAATGTGAGATCCTAGTTCTGCAACCAGGGGTGAACCCACACGCCTAGCAGTGGAAGCTCGGAGTCCTAACCACTGGACGACCAGGGAAGCTCCCATCCTAGCCTAGCTTAAATATGCTCAGAATACTTACATTAACTTACAATTGGGCAAAATCATCTTAACATAAAGCATATTTTATAATAAAGTGTTAACTGTCTTGTAATTTATTGACTACTAAACTGAAAGTTAAAAGTAGAACAGTTGCATGGTACAGAATGGTGGAAAGTTTTTTCAGTTGTTTACCCTCATTATCACCTGGCTGACTGGGAGCTGCAGCCACCCCACTCCCCACCATCACAGGTAACAGGCTGCATGCAGATCGCTAGCCCAGGAAAAGATAAAAATTCAAAGCATGATTTTGAGAGAGTCAATTCCTGGGTAGGTTGATAGTAAGTCCAGGGTCCCTGAGGAAAAGAGGGATCTGGGGCTCCCGAGGAGGAGAGTCTGGAATTCTCAAGGAGGAGGAATGGAAAAACTTTTTTTCTACATTCCTTAGTGAAAATCTCATGGACAAAGGATCCTGGTGGGCTGCAGTCCATGGGATTGCAAGAGACTGCAGGACTGAGTGGCTAACACTTAGTTACTTAGTAAGGATTATATAACAACAATGTATCCAGCTTGAGGACAGTTTCTCCTTGAAAATCTTCTGGCTAATCCTATTACCTTAAAATGTAAATCATGGGAGTGGTCTAGTAAGATCTTTACAACCTTGAGACATTCTTTTGATTTATTGTAATAACTAATTTTAAAAGTATGTAACTCCCTTGCTTAGACTAGGGAGGGAGGCACTCTCCTCCCCCTTCTGATGTCCGTGTCAGAAGCTTTCTCTGTCCTTTTGATACTTTACTAACACTCTGCTATATAAAAGCTCTTGAGTGATCAAGCCTGGTCCCTGGTCCGAAGCTAAATCTTCTTTGGAGATCATGAATCAGACATCATTTACTATAAGCTATCAATTTCTAGTGTGTATGTTCTTGCTTTTGCTCCATCATAAAGTCAAAACATCCTAAGCTGAACCATTTTAAGTTAGGCACCATCTGTATATGCTTTTGAACATTTTGAATTCTATACAGAGTGCAAGTATTACCATCTCCTTTTTTTTTTAAAGAAAGAAAAATGGAAAATTGGTGCTTTATCTTTAACCTATGTTTTATTTTAAGAGATCATCTTGATTTTCTCATGTAATAAACTTTTACAGTTTTAACTCTCAATCCTTAATAGTATTATTCATTATATTCGAGTTTAGCTTTCTCATAGAGAAAAAAACCCAAACATAAACCTTTATACTATCCACCTCCTAGTCTAACAGCACAATTTCAATAAGAAAGTTTTATTGATAACTGAATAATTTATGTGACATCAGCAGAGAGATATCAAGAGTGATTGTGCAGTGGCCATTCTTGTTAAGAACTGTGATCTTTGACCCACTGCTCAATCCATTTCAGTATCTGATTGATATTATCCTCTAGATCTTCTGGTTTATTGCTCGGCAGTTGATGCACTATTTCTTCCTTGTAGGATGCTAAGGCTTCTTCATGAAGAACTTGAAAAATTTCACACTGAACATTATCTTTTAGCTTCTTCTCATTGTAACCCCTAAAAGGCAAAGAGGAGATAATCTGAATGGCATTAACTAGTTTTAGGAACAAATTAGAAACTGGACACTTCTGAACCTGTACACTTTTTGAACACATGAAAAATCACACAAAAATACTTCTTAGTCTCTTTACCTGGAAATAATAGGTTGGCATTCCTCCCCCTCCAATTTGTCAGCCATTCAATTAGCAAACATCTACTTACCTCAAGCCAGATGCCCAGCTATGAGACAGTCTATAGTTATGGTTCTAAATTTTAAAAGTTAGAGGAATTAAGATATAGACAGATATAACAAATAAATGCATATAATAAAATAAAATGCACATGATAAAGAATATCATATACTAATTGGGTACTATATCACACAGATGTATCTGTAGTTTACCAGTTCCAAAGACACTGAAAAAATTAACTTGTATAATCTTTTTCATTTATTTTATTAGTTGGAGGCTAATTACTTTACAATATTGTAGTGGTTTTTGTCATACACTGACATGAATCAGCCATGGATTTACATGTGTTCCCCATCCCGATCCCCCCTTCTGCCTCCCTCCCCAATAACTTGTATAATCTTTAGGAAGATATATTATCCAACTAGCTAGTGAAATGAGTAAGGAAAATTCAGACTCAAATTAATCCAATTTTGTAACAACCAAAATTAGATTGAATTACTCAAAAGGTAATTAACTTTATGAAAAGACAGCCCATAGAGTGGGAGAAAGTTTTTGCAAATCTTATATCTGATAAGGGACTTATACCTAAAATACATAAAAAAATCTTACAGCTTAGTAAAAAAGGCCAAATAACCCAATTAAAAATTGGGCAAAAAGTCTAAATAGATATTTTTCCAAAAGATACACAAATGGCCCATAAGTACATGAAAAGGCACTCAATATCATTAGCTATCAAGGAAATGCAAATGAAAAGCACAATGTGATACTACTTCACATCCACTAGGATAGCTACAATCAAAGATAATAACAAGGATGTGAAAATACTGGAGGCTTCATACACTACTCCTGGGAATGTAAAGTGGTGCAGTCACTGTGGAAAATGTCTGACAGTTTCTCAGAAAGTTATACATAGCTATTTAACATGTGACCCAGAAACCCTATTCCTAGAGAAACTTCAATACCCAAGATAAATGAATGAATGCATAATGTTCACAGAAAAACACATGCATGAATGTTCATAGCAGCATTATTCATAACTGCCAAAAAGTTATAACAACCCCAATGTCTATAATCTGATAAACAAATAAATAAAATGTGGTATATCCATATAATGGGATATTATTTGGCAATAAAAAGAAAAGAAGTACCAGTACATGCTACAATACAGATGAACCTTGAAAACATTATGCTAAATAAAAGAAGCCAGACACAAAAAATCACATTTTGTGTGATTTCATTTATATATAAAGTCCTGAATAGGCAAATCCACAGAGAAAGAAAGTAAATGACTGGTTGCCTGGGACTGGGGACTGAGGGGAGATGGGGAGTGACCGCTAATGGGTATGGGTTTTTCTGAGGTGCGGAGGTCGTGAACATTGTAAAAAATTGGTTATAATAGTGGATATACAACTCTGTGAATACACTGAAGACCACTGAAGTGTATGCTTCAAATGGGTTGTACAATTCATGTGGTATGTGAATTTATTTCAACAAGGTTTTTTCTTTAAATAGGTTTTTTCATTAAAAAAAATTAAATAAGTGATTAATTTTTTCAATGGTTAAAAACAAGACTGCCTTTCTCATACTTTAATCTTTATTTACATAAAATTTTAATTTTGAATAAAAATGTTAAATGGTTTTTGAGAAAAGGCATATTTACCACATTGTCTCTATTACTTCTCTGTTCAAATATTCTTAATGGCTTTTCCTGCCTAAAGAAAGATGATGAAAGCTTCAGGTATTATTCCCACCTGTATATTTCATACTATATATTTTTGTGCAAGGACTGACTTCCCTTGTGTCTCAGATGGCAAAGAATCTGCCTGCAATGCAGGACACCCAGGTTTGATCCCTGGGTTGGGAAGATCCCTTGGAGAAGGAAATGTCAACCCACTCCAGTCTTCTTCCCTGGTGAATTCCTTGGACAGAGGGAGCCTGGCAGGCTCCAGTACATGGGGTTGCAAAGAGTGCGACTCACATACACACACACACACAATGCAGTGGTGTTCAGTCAGAGCTGACTATGACACTGAGAACCCAAATTCTGAACCTGACCTTAGTTAGACAAACTTGTGGAATTTTCCTTCCAGAAACTTCTCTCTAAATTCCTTTAAAATTCCCCCTTTGCCACAGCGTGAATCAAGACAGTAGGTAAATGTTTTCCATAAAACTTTGCTTTTCTGGTTTTTCTGGATTAAGCCTGATGCTCTCTTGGAAAGGAAGAACTCAAATATATTGTGAAAGGTTAATTTATCTTGTGAGTTTTTCTAAATGTCCTCATTTCTGTTGTGAGGATGATTTAAGTGGGTAACGTCCATTCCATAGCAAAGAATATGCTGTTGTCTTGGCTGTTTTCCTAGAGAAGCATTACATTAGGAAAAGCATGACTAAATAGCGTTGCTATACAGTACATTTTACTGAATCAGACTGCCAGTTAGGCTCTTCATTTACTCAGAAATTACTGCTTGTGTTTTACAAATGCATCTTTTTCTCTTAAGTTCAGAATGTTGGTCTATACAGACTTGGTTTATGATGGGAACAAAATATAAAGTAGTCACATTTTCAAATAGAACCTTTTTGATGTTAGTATTTGCCAGCTTCAGGAATCTGAGTAAAAGTTTATGCCATACTTTAAAATGTTTTTCCTTTCTTACCTATTTTCAAGTCTTTCGTACAAAATACTGTTATCTGTTTTCAGCACAAATACTATATGAAACCAGCGTTCAGGGAAGAAATCACAGCCATGGTAATCAACAATAACTCCACCTTCACTCATCTGGTTTTCTAACTCATCAACTACCTGTAAGAAAGGGAAAAAATAAAGATGAATACTCTTTTAAAAACTGAGGTCAAAAAATAATAAAGTAAATAAGCTAAAAAATATTATCACCTCAGTATGCAATCAATTAAAAAAAAAACCTGAGGTCAACTCTCCCATTAAATTTTTTAAATGTATACTTTATTAACAAAATTGTACTTACTCTATCTTCATCTAAAATGGGACAGTCATACTCTTCATCATAGCCATCATATAACTGCCCTAAAAGAGATTTACATTGGAATATTAAAGTAGTCTTCTCTTGGTAACTTTCAGTAATTTTCAATTACTTTTTTAGAGATAAGAGAGGGCATTAATACAACAGTGTCACATGGACACCAAATATAATGAGCAATGCTGGTAAATTAGAATTTTGTCTAGAAGGAAATTTGAATAACAGTATATCTGCAACCACTTTAGCTATTGATGTTTTCAAAGCTGAAACCATCTACAGAGAACCAACTTCAGTATTTGTGCTGCTATAAGAAGAAAACATTAGTTTTGTTGAGCTACAGATTGGTGGTGAGACGGATACAAACACATACATTAACAGCAGATTAGGTTCCAAACTTATTAGGCCAAGGATATAAAACTCATTAAAAGCAACAACTGGTGCTTGATCCCACGCATGAACCCTCTGTCACTGAGGTCACACACGCATGGGGTTTGGGGAAGGAAAGTCAGTATACAGATGCTCCTGAACGTCTAGATTTCCAGCATCCCCAAAAGCCAAGGGTTAAATTTCAGAAGGTAAAACAAGAATGATGGGGGCAGGCATAAGGAAGGCAAATTTAAATCTAACGTAAAAACTTTCCAGTAAATTAGTTTTCTTTCAAATGAAGTGTGTCTTAAGGAGGTGAGACATAGCAATCCCACCCTCACCCTGAACCCCTAGGAGGTATGTACTCTAGAGGCAGACTTAGATCATCCTTTTAGCCATCTCAAAAAGCATGCTATAGTCTTCTACCTCTTCCCCTTAACAATCTGGCACAGATTGAAATAAGCTTAAAATGAGCATAAATTCTGAAGGGACAAAAGGGTGGTCCCTGAGGGTTAGTGGAAGGCACAGAGGCAATTTTAACTGTCTTCCCGGGAGGGTCTGTGGACCGATTCTCAGCACACGAACCCCTTCTCTGGCACCCGAGTGTGACCTCTGACTTCTTGGGTGACTGTGCGGCTACCAGAAACTCTTACCTGCTAAAAAGTTACTGTCTTGGTGTGGGGAAAATGGGTTAACAATACAGAAAATAAACCAAACCCTTACTTTACACCACAAATCCTAGGCGGATTACAAAGTTAACTACTACATTCCAAAGATAACTAATGGAAAACTAAACTTACAAAGGAATGGTTCATTTGAGTTTGTGAAAAAAATAACTGATTCAAATAAATAAAATGTTAAATCTCTGAAGAATTTTTTTTAAAATAGCAGGGAGAAATATTTATACTAGGACAAAGGACTGAAATGTAGATTATATAAATATCTTGAAAAAAGTAACTTAATAACAAGAAAACAATTCACACATAATGGAAAAGATAATTAGTAAACAATACATGAAAAAAAGCTGGAAGTTCCCAGCTACTAAAGAGATGCAAATTTAAATGAGCCTTTTTATAACTGTTACATTATGTATTTAGTAAATTGACTCTGAAAATGTGTAATTATTTTTTAGAGTCGACAGTACATTTTATTACACATCTTAGATTCATACATTTCAAATATGCTTTTAAAGCTTAAGTTCAATACAAAATAAAAAACTGTATATACAGCAGCATCAGGCACAGCATTTAGGGGACTGGAGCAGGCTTTTCCTCGAGCATATTGTAGACAGTATGTTATGAGCCATGCCAGTGGAATGATTCCTTCTGACCTAGCTGCCTTTTTTGATTGGATTTTATACAGTGAACAGCTTTAGAAGGTATAATATTGCTAGTAGAAAAGATGACTTAAAATGTTAATAACCTGTTTTTTCTTGAAGTCTTTAAGAGCTAAATGATCCCCTTTTCTCCTAATAGAGCTCCAAGATCATCTAATGAAAATAATATTGTCCATGAACTATCTGGAGCATCATCAAGCTAAGAACCACTGTTCATGGTTATTCAATGTCTTCTGGCTTCACAGGAAGAGGTAACAACGGACTTCTCAGTGTCCCTGGATGGTGTTTTCCTCATACTGTAAGCGTCCTCATCCGGCTCCCCGTTGCTCGCTGAATAGTATGCCTGACTATTGTGTGTGCTGTAGCCTAGCTGCTTGGACATCTTAACAGCAACTGGGTTAGACACTTACAAAGAGATCAACAAAAAACCCACCCTTTCTTTCTGACATCTCCTCTAATAACTCCATAAGTTTAGCAGCCAAACCACGGCGCCGAAATTCCGGCGACAGAGCTGTGATGTGCCCATGCCCTTCTTCCCTTGCCACTGAGCCTTCCGCTTTGCCCATGGTATAACCCATTAGCTCTCCACCAGGGGCCTCTGCAACGATGAGGTACTCCAGCCAGTGGGCGAGGTACTCTAAGTAAGGAATCCCATAAGTTTCTGTAATTGGATCCAAGTTAAATGTCGTTGAAGCAAAACAGGTCATAGCACTGCTACACCCATGGGAACCGGCTTAAGGCAACATCACACTGGCCCACCCTGGAAATCTGTAATTTTTTCAAGAAAAATGTCCTGTCCAGAGATTTTTTGACCTCTGAATTTCTAACCAGAAAAAAGTATAAATGATGCTTTAAAATACTCAACAATAGTGAATTAGTTAAATCTTGTTTACTAACTGGCTGAAGTATGTAACTAAACTTAATAAAGTATTAGGTTGTTAAATTTCTCCATTATTTTTACATTACTTAATATATATATTATATATATATTTTACAATGCCACAAAATGGAGAATACCTACTGCTGATTTTGCACTATGTGGGAATATGGGGTAGATAAATGTTCCTTCATATTTTAAGTCCAGACTAGTAAAAAAATTTTTTAATACATGTTGTCTAAAATACAACTATAGCAGTATTCTTTATTATTAAAAGTCTTTACATATTGCAATGCTGAAATGCAGGATTTCTTAAAATCATGTTAATACATTTTAATAAAATAGTGTAACCCAAGCTTTCCAACATTCATTTCAAAAAACATTTATCAAACACCATGTCCACTAATTACAGAGGAAATGAAGATATAATGGTGAACAAATTGAACACCAAGACCAACTTAGTCCTTCCCTTCAACAGTTTACAGTAATATGGGAGATCACAGACAAATAACCTGGAAATTGTAATATTTAATGCTGTAGATCATGGTGCTTTGGGAACAATAAGATGGGCATCTTTAAGGTGAGGAACATAAGCAGGATATTTGGGGAAGCTTCCTGGAGGACATAACTTCTAAGTAGAAACTTGAAGCTAAGGAAAAAGAGGTAGGTAAGATGATCCTTTGTTCCCAGGTGGCTCAGTATTTAAACGATGAGCCTGCCAATGCAGAGACTCAGGAGACACAGGTTCAATCCCTGGGTTGGGAAGATCCCCTGGAGTAGGAAATGGCAACTCATTCTAGTATTCTTGCCTGGAAAAACCTACGGACAGAGGAGCCTGCAGGGCTCCAGTCTGCAGGGTCACAAAAAAAGTCAAGACACAACTTGGCAACTAAACAATGAGATACTGAGACTCAGCACTAATGGTCTTGAGGATGGTTCATGGGTACCAGGGACACAGCATCAACGGTCTTATGAATGAAATACGGGTATCAAACGGATTTTTTAAGCTATCAAGATTAGAAGCCAAGTGCATCTGGGTAGCAGGTGAATGCATTTGTACGTGTGGCGGGACAGGAATCAGGAGTGGACAGTCAGGGATGACTTCAGAGCATCTAAATATTAATTTGGGCATTTGTACGTGTGGCGGGACAGGAATCAGGAGTGGACAGTCAGGGATGACTTCAGAGCATCTAAATATTAATTTGGGCATTTGTACGTGTGGCGGGACAGGAATCAGGAGTGGACAGTCAGGGATGACTTCAGAGCATCTAAATATTAATTTGGAAATGTCCAGAACTATCCAGATGGTTACATCTAGTAGATGTCTAGAAATTGGGCTAAGTTTTAATTATAAATCTAAGAGTCACCAGCAAAAAGAACTGACCAGTTCTGAGTCAATGAGATTACTAGATGGAGAGGCAGGATTACAAGATCACAGAGGAAAAGAGGTATATGGTGGGAAGGTGAGAATCAGATGAAAGGATTGGGATAGCAGTGTTGGTGAGAGGACAAGGGATAAGTTAGTTTCAAAGTCTTCCAGTGGTAGGTGATTAAAGAGAGGGGGTAAATGAGATACAGAGGTTAGAGTGGGGGCAGCAAGCTTTTTCTATAAAGGGCCAGACAATAAATATTTCAGAATTTACAGCCTACTCTTTAGCTAGTGGCTCCTACAAAACCAGCAGCAGCTTGCCAACCCTTGGGTTATAAACACATCAAGATTTTAAGTGTTGAGGGCCAGGTATTTGAAATGCGTCTAATATCTACATGCATGAGCATGCTGGGGTTAGGGACAGAGGCTGAAGATTGATAAAACTAGTGGCAAAAAAAATTAAGGGTGCTAATAACAAGTGTAATTAAATGACTGCACATGGGAAAGGACAGTGAGGAATGCAGACTGAATGAACAGGGGTAAGAAAAGCAGTCTTGGTCCCTCCACATTCAGAACTCCCTATTGTTTTATTAAGCTTAATTCCCCACCTAATTTTTCCTGCTTTAGTTCTAAGCAACATAGATGGTCTCTTAAAAATAATAAAGAAATTCGACATGATTACCAGGATGGCAATAAACTCCATTTAGACACATTCATTTAAAACCAGTTTTGGTCTCATGACTTATAGCAGGTTTCTAAACCTGAAATACTACTGACATTTTGAGCTTGGCCATGAAATTAAAAGACACTTGCTCCTTGGAAGAAAACCTGTGACTAACCTAGACAGCCATTAAAAGCAGAGACATTTACTTTGCCAACAAAGGTCCATCTAGTCAAACCTATGGTTTTTCCAGTGGTCATGTATGGATGTGAGAATTGGACTATAAAGAAAGCTGAGCACCGAAGAATTGATGCTTTTGAATGGTGGTGTTGGAGAAGACTCTTGAGAGTCCCTTGGACTGCAAGGAGATCCAACCAGTCCATCCTAAAGGAAATCAGTCCTGACTATTCATTGGAAGGACTGATGCTGATGCTGAAACTCCAATACTTTGGCCACCTGATGCAAAGAACTGACTCACTGGAAAAGACCCTGATGCTGGGAATGAATGAAGGTGGGAGAAGGGGACGACAGAGGATAAAATGGTTGGATGTCATCACCGACTCAATGAACGTGAGTTTGCGTAAGCTCCGGGAGTTGGTGATGGACAGGGAAGCCTGGCGTGCTGCAGTTCATGGGGTCAAAGTGTCAGACACAGCTGAGTGACTGAACTGAATTCTGTTGTGGAGATGGAGACTATCCTGTGAATTGCAGGATGTTCAGCAGAATCCTTGGCATCTACCCATTAGAGATCAGGAGAAAACCTCCCACCCTAGTTGTGACAAGCAAAAATGTCTCAGAATATCCCCTGAAGGACAAAATCACCTGAGAAACAGTGCTGTGTAAAAGACTGAATGGTTTCCCTTAAAACATATTACCATTTGCGGAAAAATGAGGCGGCTGAATATCTCAACCTATCTCCTAGTTAGATTTTCAGATATATTCAAATGGCACCTGTGGGGGAAAAAAATCTGGTACATTTTGAAAAATCTGATAAAGCACATCATCTAACATGTTAAATCAGACCAGAGATCCTTTATCTGGCATAATAGGAGGAAAAGCATCCCATTTATAAGAGTCCATCTCATTAACTAACTCATCAATTAAACATAGAGTGGTCAAGACCAGGCACCATCAAGGCACACGACTAAGATGGTTTACGTGTAAGCAGACTCAGTGAAGAGGACAGCGTCTTACTGTGGATTATCCTTGGTCTGGTGCTACTGTTGCTCTCAGTGCTATTCATAACAGATTATAATTTCATTAAGTTTAGGAACACTGAGTGGGTGAGAACTGGAAGACATGACTGAAATTGACCCCTGTATGTAACTCTGAGAGGAGGAAATGGCAACCCACTCCAGTATTCATGCTGGGAAAATCCCATGGACAGAAGAGCCTGGTGGGCTGCAGTCAATCAGATCGCAAGAGTCGGACATGACTTAGCGACAAGCACACGTGAGACTCTGAAATCACTTATCAAAAATAGTAAAGTTGCACAGGCAAAGGAACAAACCAAATTTCATATGGGTATAAAATGCAGAATGACAAGCTACACACAGTAGCAAATAAAAGACCCAAGTTTTATCAACTATAATTTGAACACCAAACCTGGATTAAAAATGTAAGCATTATACTAGTTTATAGTATCAAGAATATGAGCAAAGATACATAACTGACCTGCAAAAAGGGAAACTGGGAAAAAACTTAAAATTTTTAAGTAGTGAGATACTGAGAGACACACCAAGGATCCTTAAATATAACCAAAGGAAGAGAAAAATGGAATCTAAGAAAAACTCCAGCAATTGAAAAAGGTAAATCTAAATGGATAAGTGTTGGTCACTTAGTCGTGTCTGACTTTTTGCGACTCTATGGACTGCAGCTGGCAGGCTCCTCTGTCCATCGCATTCTCCAGGCAAGAACACTGGGGTGGGTAGCCATTCCCTTCTCCAGGGGATCTTCCCAACCCAGAGATCAAACACAGATCTCCCGCACTGCAGGCTGATTTTTTTTTTTTACCATCTGAGCCACCAGGGAAGCCGAAATGGGTAAGGTTCACTATAACTAAAAATCCTGACCAAGTGGTCTCTCTAAAAAGCAGACATAGTTATACTTCAGCAATCTGAAAGAATGGCCCATAAGAGTGACTTATACACCAGAGATCATACTATGATCTAAACATGTGAAAACACTAGAAGTGACTCTAGTGGTAAGGAGTAGACTGCAACAACTTCAAGTTTTTCCAACTGCTATTTCTGTTGGTGATGAGGTGGAAAACTGCATTAAAAAAAAAAAATCTAAGAACATAACTGCCAAAGTACCAACAATTAAATGCACGAATTACAACTTTATTTTTCACACTTAAAGGCTGACGAGAAACCATTGCTAATCCTATTAAAGAAAATCCAACAGAACAGCTCAATCGAAAAGTATGGTAAGCATATTTACTCATTAAATACTATTTTTTCTAGAATACAACATGGAAACATCTAGCATGCATGTTTAATCTCAGTACAACAGATTCAAAACCAAGTATACATGTTACATGCTTCAAGGCTAGATTACAAATTATCATAGTCATCGTCATCATCGTCGTCGTCGTCGTCGTCATCATCACGTTTCCTTTTCAATGCATTCGATGCTTCATTGGCAGTATTTTGTGATGAGACCATGTTAGTAGTAATAAGAATATTTTTGGACCCAATTAATGACGGATTAATTAGAACATTCTGAACTGCTGATGTTGCAGGAATTGATGCTTTTACAGCTGGGGATTGTGAAGTGGGCATCTGTACTGTGAACCTTTGCCCTGCGAGGGACACTGGAGTCCCTACTTTAGTTGAGACGGACATGGCTTGTGGGGTTGGTGTGCCAAGCGTGGGAGTACTCGGTCTGCTAGTAACTGAGCCAACACTTAACCGTGGAACTGTTATTCTTCCTGCAGAAGTAGATGCCTTTTTTTGTAAAGACTTAAGTCTATAATTTGGAGCAGTCAAGCAATACCTATCAGGTGGCAATCTAGGACCTGAGTATGGCTTGATCAATGGCAAAGGGGTTTGATTTCTTTGCCTTGCAATATCTAATAAAAAATCTCTTGGGGGAGGAGAGGTAAAAGACTGGTCAGCACGACATTGGATTGCCAATCGCACATCATCTGCATCAACAGTAGCTTTCTTAGCATGACTTGAATAAATTTTTGCATCATCTAGAATTGTGGTCACATATCGGAAGGCAAACTCCAACATCTGATTTATAACTCTTGGTTCATATTCTGTAATCCCCATATCCTTCAGGATTTGTGCCATCATCTGTGCATCTTTCGGCATGCTCTTGGGAGAAGCCATCTTGCCAGACTCCATGATATCCGGTGATCAAACTTTAGATCATTTGAAAAAAATATGTACATTAGATCAAATGTGAAATAGTTACTTTAGTAGCAACTGTCAGGAACTTTAAAATTTTTAAATACAAGCTTTTAAAAATAGAAATTAAAAAATGTTAAATCTTTTTAATTTTAATGAGGCACATTTAAACTTCCCTTTACTTAAATTTATGGAGTTTCTACCCGTTAGAGAATATAAAAACATGAAGACACAAATAATGGAAGTGATCAAAGACGGGGAAAAACCAGGGTAAAACAGGTAAAAACATATACTTTAAAATATGTGCAAACAAAAAAAAAATAATAAAATATGTGCAGTTGCTTGCAGGCATGCATCTATCAAACTAATCTAAGACCATAGTACAGCCATATCCTACTACCTGAGTTCAAAATTCTGTCCTTCCAGTAAGCTCATAGACTATCTTTCTCTCTATACATATATGCTTAGCGCAACTCAAAATACTCTTCTTCATATTCAAACGGTCCTGTCTTCATGGAAGCTGTTCCAGTTATTAATGTTCACAAAGACTGCTAGCCAAATGGAGAGGGGATGCAGCAGTCAAAATAACCAGGACACAGCATGAGACAATATGTTCTATGTTCCCAACAGAGCATAAATTCCTTCATGGAACATTTTCTCTTCTTTCTCACAAATACAGTGCTAATACTTCATTACTTCTCTCTCTCTTTTTAAATAAACAAACCTAACACCAAAGTGTCCCTTACCTTCTCGAGCTAAATCACCCACATTAATGTATTTCAGTCCTGATCTTGATGCAAGTTCTTTGCCTAATGTAGTTTTTCCAACCCCTGGTGTACCTGTAAGACAAGCCACAGAAAAATACTGTTCATGAAATACTTATTAGACTTTAGCCACTGATCTACCCTTAAGGTTCTCAACAACTGAAATGAAAAGTTTCCTAATTAGCAATCCTATACGAACACACACCGTAACCTAATGAACTACCCAAAGCCTGCTGGATATCAGAATTTCACCCAGTGTATCTGATTTTACCAGAGCGAGTGGGGCTTGGGATCTGATGCCAATCACAGACTGTTTGCCAGCATGGAAATTCCCAGAATAAAATTAGCCACCTCAAATAAACTGCCACCATTTGTTTTAATGTGTACATACATACACATCGCATGCATATATATCAATACATACACATACCATATATTTCCTTCTTCTACATAAATGGCAATACTATACATTGTTCTTCACCTTCCCTTTTTCATATTGCTTCACGATAAATAATCATACCCTTAATTTTCAGCTGTTCAGATTTAATGCCAAAATTATAAAATCTGGTCATTATAATTAAAGATAAAAGGAATAAATTCAGGTCTACCTATAAGGAAAACATTTTACCTCCAGTCCACTATAATACACCAAGTTTGAATCCTAAACTCACCATGTTTTCAATAAAATGATCACATTTATATTTTTGACGATATGATTTAACATTAAACTAAGATACTGTCTGACCCAAACAAATAAGATGTTGTAAAACCTTCCTCTTAAGGAGCAGGCTAAATGTTAATTTGTTGACGTTAATCTGCTGCTCTCAGAAACAGACAAGACTTCTGTGCTGCCAGTATGCTTGTTTTGTTAAAAGATAAAACTGCTTTGTTTCCACAAACAGCGCCTCAATTTTGTATTGCAACAGCATCTACACCCATTAGATTTTCACATGAATGTCCCGTGATGCTATTAACTACCACAATTTAACAGTTAAACATTTTCAGAGTTAAATTAGAAATAATATTCTTGAAGTCACTATGCGGTATTTCAGGGCCCCGCATTCATAACAGGCGCCTTGAGCTTGGATCCAAAGACCCAGAAGAAACCCCACAATCATCCCAGGAATTTTACAGCATCTCTGGACAAGAAACGACCAGAGATGCTCAGTCGATGCCTTCCGTTCTTAAAATTTTAAAAGCCCCTGGGGCAACCTCCGCCAGCGTATATGACAAATGAATCACCCACAGCACAAACACCTGACTCCTTTCACCTGACTCTCAGATACAAAGGAAAAATGAGAGGCAGCTCAAGAAGCCTCAAGACCTAATAATGGCATCCATCATTAATAGATCTAGTAAGGGCCAGATACTGCTTTATGTTATTTAGCTAACAACCCAAAGACAACCCTACCTAAGTAAAGCAACAGCCATTTTACAAACAAAAACGTGATTAAGAAAGATTAGGCAGCTTGCCAAAAAAGGGAGCTGGCTATCTACCTGTCTCCGCCTCCCCGAGAAAGCCACCTCTCGCCAACAAAATTAACGTTCGTCGTCCCCTCCCCCCGCCTCCCGCAAAACCGCCGCGAGGGCCGGGTCCCGAGGCCCTGACGAGGACAACCCCGCCACGCGGCCCTGGCCGAGCCTCCCCACTGAACACTAAGCGAACCCCTTCGGGCCAGGCCCCAGAGCACTCGGCGTCCCGGGCCAGCCCAGCCCCTCGCCACCACTCCACCGCGCGCCCTGACCGGTGAGCAGGATGTTCGGAAGCAACATGGTCCTCGCTGCGCTGGCTCCGCACGCCTCTGCACACGCGCTCTACACACTCCTGGGAGGGGCTGGCAGGGGCAGGCAGCGGCGAGCGCCAGCAGCTCGGGGTACTCGAGGCCTGGAGGGGCACTCGAGACCCACCTCCGCCGCCTCGTCACCCACAGTTGGTTACCCGGCCCTCGAGGACACGCTTCCACCGCAGGGTCCGAGATACCGCCACCGGTCGGGCCGGCGCTTCGAGTCAGGCAGTGCGCTGGATGCCTAAGACAGTGGCTCCTCTGGCGGCCCCGCCCTCCGGACTGGGTCGCGGAAGCGCCGACTGATCTGGAAGGTCCCCGGGGGGCGGGGCCTCTGAGAGGCTTCCGCGCTGAGCTCGGGCTGGGCCGGGTGGCTTCCCTTCCACCTGGAGCAGAGCCTGGGCTCCACCGCTCCCCTCCGCCCATGAGGGGATGCAGCTACCCGAAAGTAAGGCTGTCGTTGCTGCGGCTGTGGTGTATATATGTCCTCGAGACGCGAATCCATGTCTGCTTTCACGCCTCCCGGCCTCTCGTGGCTCCTCCTCCTGAACTGCCCATCCCATCTAGGGGTGAGAGGGTGGGGGTGCTGAGCTCTGGCCTGGAGCAGAGGCACGGGAGTTCATCTTGGCTCTCGCCTGACTAGCAGCCTGACCTTGGACAAATATTTCAGCTTAGTTATCTCCAGTGCAGTGTGTAGGGTGGTGGTGGGTGTGCTAGAAAGACTCTTCAAGGTCTTTTCTACCGCTGACATCTCATTTCAGGAACCTGGTATCCTCAAGGACAGTTGCCTACTTTTTAAAGGAGGTAACTGTCAGCCTTGTTTTCAAAGGGCAACTAGAATTCTGACCAGAACAACAGTCTGTCTCTCTTATTTCGACCTATCAACCATGTTCACTCAAAGAGGTGCTTTTTCCACTTATGTACCTCTTTGAAACTGCAAAGCAGAGACGTTCCCAGTCGTGAAGAATATGTGAGTCTGTATGATTTGCTTTCTAGTGTGTGGAAGTTTTTACACATAAATTATGTGTGTCTCCAAACTATAGAGCTCAGTGTACAGGTTTTTAGACTTTAAAAAACTTTCCTTCTGGCAAACTTAAAATTGCTGAATTTTCGCCAGTTTATATAAACGTTGAAGAACTATGACATTCAGAAGAGTGTTGCCAAAAAAATGTCTTGATGACGTGTTCAAATAAGAACAAACGTTTGACGTGTTCACATATAGAAAAACTTGACAGTAAAATATAAAGTCTTTGTCTAAAGTCAATGATAAGTCTGAATTCATTGTACGGTGCTGTTTTGGTTATGTGAAATTTGGGGGAAATTTTGACATTTAAACTGTGGGGAAAAAAATTGATTGATTGATTTTTGGCTGCACTGGGTCTTCCTTGCTGCATGCAGGCTTTCTCTAGTTGCGGTGAGCGGGAGCTACGCCCTGGTGGCAGTGTGTGGACTTCTTGTTGGGTACTCCCCGCCTTTAGAGTGTGAGCTCAGTAGTTACTGTGCGGCGGCTTGGTTGCTCTCGTGTGGGGGGATCTTTCCAGACCAGGAATGGAACTGATGTCCCCTCCATTGCAGGGCACAGTTCTTAACCACTGGACTACTAGGGGGGCCCTAAAGTGTGGAAAATTTTAATCTTCAGTATAAAAACTGCACAAAGAGAATTGTTCAATTTTTCTTAACGAAACAGAGGTACACAAATGTATGGTTTTTCTGTGTTGTCTAATACATTACTGATTTCATGTGAAAAATGTATCTCTGTAGATAATTGACAGTCATTAAAAATAAAATTCACTTTAGTATTTTGATTTCTTACTGCCTGTATATTTACTGTATTCTCTTTCACTAGTTCTTGAGCCTTTATTATGTTGTTGATTTTATCAATATATATTACTGTACTTCTGTTTTACAATTTTCTGATTTTGAGATTTTTTTTTTCTTTTTTTCCCCCAGGTGAACTATACTTTAATGTACTACAGGTTGTATACTACGGATGGGAACTATTGAAGTTTATAATGTCAAAAACTTTTTTTAGACCAAAGGTATCTTCTACAAAGGTATGATACACTAAAATGGCCAAGTGATGGTTGCCCAAAAGGAGTTACAAATTTTTGAATATGTTCCTAATGACTTGCTACCACAGTCAAAGTAACGGTGCCCAGTATTTATTATAATTAGTAATCTAAAAACTCTAATACTAAATTGTGAAACAACTGTGCACTGAAAACACAACCTTAATTTTTTTTTAATGTATTTATTTATTTTAATTGGAGGCTAATTACTTTACAACATCATGGTAGTTTTTGCCATACATTGACATGAATCCGCCATGGATGTACGTGTGTCCCCCATCGTGAACCTCCCTCCCACCTCCCTCCCCATCCCATCCCTCGGGGTTATCCCAGTGCACCAGCTTTGGGTGCCCTGTTTCATACACTGAACTTGCACTGGTCATCTATTTCACATGTGGTATATACATGTTTCAATGCTGATTTCTTAGATCATCTCACCCTCGCCTTCTCCCACAGAATCCAAAAGTCTGTTCTTTACATCTGTGTCTCTTTTGCTGTCTTGCATATAGGGTCATCATTACCATCTTTCTAAATTCCATATATATGCATTAATATACTGTATTGGTGTTTTTCTTTCTGACTTACTTCACTCTGTAATAGGCTCTAGTTTCATCCACCTCATTAGAACTGATTCAAATGTATTCTTTTTAATAGCTGAGTAATATCCCATTGTGTGTATGTACCACAGCTTTCTTAACCATTCGTCTGCCGATGGACATCTAGGTTGCTTCCATTTCATAGCTATTGTAAACAGTGCTGTGATGAACATTGGGAATGAAAGAGCAATCGAAGAGAAAGAAATAGTTGTATGTGGTATTATAACTTGAAAACCCCCACCTCTTAGAAATTATGTGGCACAGTATACCAGTTCTCAGTAAAGTTATTGGGTGGGTGGGATGAATGTCAGACAGTGTACTGGAAGTTATCCATTTTCCTAGTGGTGAATCTGATTTTCCTCTGACTGTAAGTAAATTATTTAACTTTGCTCTTTCTCTTATCTTCTTTTTTTTTTTTTTAAGGAAGTTAAATTCACATTTATGTAAGAAATAAAACTTTAAAATGTATGAGCAACATGCATATTGAAGTTGCTAGATCGGAATTGCTATTAAGAGTTTTACTACTACTCATATTTTCATGTACTCTATTTTTATAAAGGAAAGGGGCCAAAATTGTAGTACCAGTGACAGTCTTTTAAAGAGGAGGAAATGAGAGGGGTAGCTATGACTGAAATTTTTCCCCCGGAAGTCTTCCTTCCTTTATCCTCTGCTAATCATGATCCTAACCTCTGCCTTTATAAGAGGAGTGAAGTGTGATTTTGCATTCATAGAATACCTGTAAGCCCTAACTTCCTTTTCCTGAGCCTACTTGCAGTGCCAACCTCCGCTTTTTTTTTTCTTTCCTTCCGACGAGAAGTATTGTGTAGTATTGGTTGCTGAGCATTCTCCAAGGAAAATATATCTTGGTTCCCGCTTGTTAGCCAGGCAGGGAATTCTAAAAGTCAGGCACTAAACTAGATTTTTCTAGATTTATACTATTGGAATGTTAAGAAAAAGTTCACTTTTAAAATTAAAATTATTATTTTTTAATAATTAAAAAATTAAGTATTTTTAATACTCCTAAATATTTTTAGGCTAAAATATTTTGTTTTTTCATTTTTTTCTGTGTATCATTACAAAGGATTTTTAAAGAAAAGGAAATGATGGAGGGAAATATAGAGAGGTCAGGCGTTTCTATAGACCAGAGGACCGTGAAGTAGAACTCACTGATTTTCCTGTTCTATTAACCTGGTACTCTTTCTCCTGAACAAATCTGACAGATCATCCTCTCTGGAAAGCCTGCTTCCCTTTCAGAAACATACTAGTTGCTTCATGCTGCTGCTGCTAAGTCGCTTCAGTCGTGTCTGACTCTGTGCGACCCCATAGAACAGCAGCCCACCAGGCTCCCCCGTCCCTGGGATTCTCCAGACAAAAACACTGGAGTGGGTTGCCATTTCCTTCTCCAATGCGTGAAAGTGAAGTTGCTCAGTCATGTCCGACTCATAGCAACCCCATGGACTACAGCCTACCAGTCTCCTCCGTCCATGGGATTTTCTAGGCAAGAGTACTGGAGTGGCTTGCCATTGCCTTCTCCGGGTTGCTTCATGAGCTGAAGAAAAATATAATCAAGTCATAAATACAGATTATTCATAGCATCAGTATTCTTAGACCTTATCCTCACAAATCTTAAGGCTGATAGGGATTATTTTAATGTATGAAATGATTCTTAGTTTGTGAATATATTAATCTGGTCAAGGCAGAAGTGTGAACTGATTTGTGAGATTTATTGTCAATGTTGCTAATACAAGAATGTTTTTAATAGAGTAGTTTAGTTACATAGGTAATAGATGCAAAAAATATAAGTGTTTATTTATATGGTTTCTTTTTTTCAGGTAACAAACTGGGTAGACCCATCATTTGATGGTTTTTCAGAGACTACAAGCATTTCTACTATTACTGCCACATCATTAAGTGTGAATAACTCAAGTCTTAGAAGAAAAAAGGTGCCTTCCACAGTAGAAAGTAGCAGACTTCTGGCTAGCAAAGGAGGAAACCTATCTTCCTCTAAACAGATCTATGGTCTAGAAAATTCAAAAGAATATCTGTCAGAAAATGAACCATGGGTGGATAAATACAAACCAGAAACTCAGGTAATAATTAGCCTACCAAGAAGTCTTCATAATTTAGTTTCAGGAAAGAGAGGGATGTGCATTTTCAGTTATTATTCATTAAAACCTTTTTGCCTAAATGAATTAGAAAAAAATAACTTCTAAGTTTTTTATATTTTCAGTCTCGAATTTTCCCAACAGTTATTCTGAAGATATACCATTGGTTATTTGTCTTTGATTTAATTTAATTCTTTGATTTAATTTAACTTAATCAATCCCTAACATTGACTTGATCCATTTAATCTTTTGCTAAATGTAAAGCCCCTCCCTATTTATTACCTTACCAAAATGTATTTCAGAATTTTAAAATATTTTGTAATTTCAGATGTGCTTCAAATATTCATATGTTGTGGTCAGTTTAACAATATACTTTTTCCATATCAATATAAATTAAGTATAATCAAAAAGACCTTTTTATTGTATCATGTTAATCATTTGCTAGTTTTTTTTTTTCATTTGCTAGTTTTTTCATTAAAAATGTGTAGAATAATCTGTGCGATGTATCAAAAATTTTTGAGTTAAAGTGTTTTTATTTTAAACTTGAAAATTTTAGCATGAACTTGCTGTGCATAAAAAGAAGATTGAAGAAGTTGAAACCTGGTTAAAAGCTAAAGTCTTAGAAAGGCAGCCAAAACAGGTAACTAAATATTAAGAACTGTTTTTGTTTTTTTAAAGCAGTTTTTATTTATTTATTTTTGCTTCTTTATTAGTTTTTTTTGGCCATGCTGCGTCTTTGCTGCTGTGTGGGCGTTCCTCTAGTTGCAGCGAGCGGGGCTGCTCTCTAGTTGTGGTGAGAGGGCTTCTTGTTGCGGTGCCTGCTCTTTGTTGCAGGGTACAGGCCATGTATAGGACGTGTGGGCTTCAGACCTCAGTAGTTGTGGCTCCTGGGCTGTCGATAGAGCACAAGCTCAGTCATGGTGGTGCTTGGGCCTTAGTTGCTCTGAGGCATATGGGATCTTCCCGACCCAGGGATCAAATCTGTGTCTCCTGCGTTGGCAGGTGGATTCTTTACCACTGAGCTATCAGGGAAGCCCCAAGAAATGTTTAGAAATATTTGACCTCGGATGTGTCTCTGCCTTTTAGTTGGTTTTAGGAAGTTAAAAACTTTCATGTTGACTTTGTACTCATGAGTCCCTCTCACCTGTGGTAGAAAACCGTCTGACCTTACTACTTCTGCCTCATTAAAAGACTCAGGAGACTTTGAGTTTTCTCCTTTACTTTTATCTCTTTTTTCCCTCTTATTTATAAAGCATAGTAAACCATTTGGGTGCTAATATATTTAGCATATCAAATTATCTCACTCTGAAGCAAGTAGGCAAATTACATACTAGTTTTTTACTAAATATAACCTAAAATAATCATCAGTTATTTTACCCTGTGGAGAAGGCAATGGCAGCCCTCTCCAGTACTCTTGCCTGGAAAATCCCATGGGCAGAGGAGCCTGGTAGGCTGCAGTCCACGGGGTCCCGGAGAGTCGGACACGACTGAGCGACTTCACTTTCCCTTTTCACTTTCATGCATTGGAGAAGGAAATGGCAGCTCACTCCAGTGTTCTTGCCTGGAGAATCCCAGGGACGGGGGAGCCTGGTGGGCTGCCATCTATGGGGTCGCACAGAGTCGGACACGACTGAAGCGACTTAGCAGCAGCAGCAGCAGCAGCATTTTACCCTGTAAAACGTTTTTTTTTTCACTTCCTAATTCCATAATTGCCCTTGGCCCCCAAGCTAGAATATTCTTTCTCTCTTTCTTTTTAAACTTTTAAAATTTTGAGATTCTGCAAACATAAAGAAAAATAGAATAGTAAATGAATACTCACAAACCTGTAATGTAGCCATCATTTTCCCCCATGAGTATTTTAACATAAAATGTAAACATTTGACATTTAATTCCCTGATATGATCTAGTGATCCACTCATATTCACATTTTTCCAGTTGTCCTCAAAATGTCTTTTATATCTGGTTTGTTACAACCAGTGCATGATCAAGAACCATCCATTACATTTGATTATTATATCTCTTAGGGCTTTAAAATCTAGAACAGTTCCCTTCACCTTCTCTTTCTCTCCACGACATTGACTTATTGAAGAGACCAGGGTCTTGTTATCCTGCTGTTTGAGGTTAAATTTGATCGGTAGATTAAGGAGGTGATAGTCAAAACTCTTCATTGTAACTTCCTCTTGCATTTGGCACACGATCTATTGGAAGATGCTTTGGCGGCATATAGGAGTTTCTGACAGTCTTTCACCTAAGAGATTTAGTGTCCATTTTCAGTCCTTGTCTGATTAGTAATTTTGTTAAGATTGTGAACTGGTGAATTTTCTACTTCTATTATTGTTATTTCTATAATTGTTAGCTGGCATTTTTCTATAAAAAATAGATTTCCTCATCACTAACTGGGTTTGCTTAGTTATTGATACCTTTAAATACATTACCAACTGGAAAGACAGGATAAATTACTTTGAGATGAAGAGTTGGTGTTTTAATTACCTCCAGTGGTAAACAGGTCCTTTTTTGAATCAAGATTCTTTCTGTCTGGTTTGTCGATCTAACCTTTGGTGTAGAGTTTAGATAATGTACTCAAAATGAACCTTCATTTTCAGCATTGGTATTCCTCTGCTGGCTCATAGAAATCTGTTGTTTCTCTGAGTACCAATTCTTGGGCACTTTCTCAGAAAGCTTTTTCTCATTGTGTTGTTTGGTCATCTCAACTAAATAGTCTTTATTTTTCAGTGACCACTGTGTTTTTATCACTTATCAGTAATTTTTTTTTTTTAGTGTAAGCATTATTGTGTCTTAAACTTACACAAGTATTAACACAAGTGTTATTGTTTTACCAGTAGGATGACTTAGGTATGTGTGCATGTATATAGGTATTAGCGAAAGTATTTCCTCTACAGTTTGAAAAGCTTCTTCCCTCTAAGAAGTTGTAGTTTAACCAACCATGTACTCTTTATTATACAAAACTTTCAATGTCAGTAATTCTAAGACATTTTGATTTTAAAAATCCTGGATAATTTCTAGATTTCTCTATGGAAACATAAAAAATTGTTTATTCACTGAGTTTAATTTTGGAGGCCGACTTCTTTTCTTCAAAATATAGTAAATCTATTACAATGTAGGCATTGGGGGTATTAAAAAAGTATTTAGTGTTCTGATAGGAGACTAGCTCCCAGTTCTGTTGCTAGAAGTAAAACCTGGTGTGTGGCTGTATCACGTGTCAGAAAACATATGCAACTTCGTTCCATAAGAAAAATGCAGGGCTGCCTGTGTTTGAGCTTTCTCTTCTTTTGAAAAGAAGTAGTTTCCTTAGAAGTAATCAGTTCTCATTAATTGCATTAGTTATGTTCTGTTAAAGTCGCTGCAAGCAAAGAATTAACAAGTCCTGAACCATTGTTCCTATGGGAAATACAAGATTGGTTCCTTCAAAACCTAATGTTAAAAGAAAATGAAAAACCTAATGTTGCTCTGGTCACATTTTCATCACTTCCCCATCAGTACATAACTTGTTTTATATGTTCCTGTGTAAAGATACCTTATTTATTTATTTCAGTTCAATTCAGTCACTCAGCCATGTCTGACTCGTTGCAACCCCATGAACCGCAGCACGCCAGGCCTCCCTGTCCATCACCAACACCCGGAGTCTACCCAAACCCATGTCCATTGAGTCAGTGATACCATCCAACCATCTCATCCTCTGTCGTCCCCTTCTCCTCCTGCCCCCAATCCCTCCCAGCATCAGGGTCTTTTTCAGTGAATCGACTCTTCGCATCAGGTGGCCAAAGTATTGGAGTTTCAGCTTCAGCATCAGTCCTTCCAATGAACACCCAGGATTGATCTTCAGGATGGACTGGTTGGATCTCCTTGCAATTCAAGGGACTCTCAAGAGTCTTCTCTAAAACCACAGTTCAAAAGCATCGATTCTTCAGCGTTCAGCTTTCTTTATAGTCCAACTCTCACATCCATACATGACCACTGGAAATTTTTATTTATTATTTTTTTGCATGTGGGATCTTAGTTCCCTGCCCAGGGATCCAACCAGCATCCATCCCCCTGCAGTGGATACACAGAGTCTTATCCACTCGACCGCCAGGGAAGTCCTCAAGATACCTTATTTAATATGTATTATTAGATCATTAACATTAAACTCATGGCCTGTAGAACTATAACTCATAAGGTCTTCCATTTTATTTTTTTTTTAAGGTCTTCCTTTTAAAAAGTGGAACAGGGGAATCCCCTGGTGGTCCACTAAGTTCAGACTTAGTGTTTTCACTGCCAGTGTCCAGGTTCAGTCACTGGTGGAGAAACTAAAATTCAGTAAGCTGCATGGCATGGCAAAAAAAAAAAAAGAATTAAAATGAATAGTGTAACTGGGTAACTGGCTCTTCTCTGGGTCCAAGTACACATGCCCTTATTTACCATAGTTAATAAAGGTAAATGTGCAAGCAAGGATCACAGCCCACCGGTACATGTAGGATATCTTCCCTTGATAATTTTTCAGTTTTAAACTTTTAAACTTTTTTTTCAATGTGTAAGGGAATGTTACTGGGACCTATAACCTTTAGTCTGTCTTCAGGGTCCTGTCTCTGGTAAATACCTTTCCTAGTATACATTTCTTAAAAAATCTGATATCCAAACTGAGGTCATTCCATAAGAATATTATACCTGTATAATATTGAACTATATAACCCAAAGAGAGCTTGATATTAAGATTGAATTTTCTGAGTTCAGGTAACCTCTAAAAATACTCGTGTCAGACATAACCTCTTTAAACTAGCTGAAGTTGTTTTAATTTGGCTGCTGAATAGTCCTTGGAAGGAACATAGTGTAAGAATTGAGGATACAGTCACTATTTAGGACAGTATGGAGATTGCTTAAAAAATTAGGAATAAAACTACCATTGTTCAGTTGCTCAGTCATGTCCAACTCTACCGTATGGCCATATGGTTTATGGTCACATGGTACCATAAAACTACCATTTGACCCAACAATCCCACTACTAGGCATATACCCTGAGAAAACCATAATTGAAAAAGATACATGTACCCCAGTGTTCATCACAGCGCTATTTACAATAGCTATGACATGGAAGCAGCCCAGATGGCCATTGACAGATGAATGGATAAAGAAGCTGCGGAACATATATATAGTGGACTATTACTCAGCCATAAAAACAGATGCATTTGAATCATTCCTTTTCTAATGAGGTGAATGAACTAGAGCCTATTACACACAGTGAAGTAAGTCAGAGAAAAATGTCATATGTTAATGCATATTTATAGAATCTGGAAAGATGGTACTGATGAACCTATCTGCGGGACAGCAGTGGAGATGCGAACAGAGAACAGACTTGTGAGCACAGCAGGGGAGGAAGAACGTGGGATTAATTGAGAGAATAGCATTGAAATATAAACAGTACCATATGTAGAATTAGATAGCCAGTGGAAATTTGCTGTATGGCACAAGGAGTTCAAATCCAGACAACCTCCGACACTGACACTGAAGTCGCTCAGTCATGTCCGACTCTTTGCGACCCCATGGACTGTAGCCTACCAGGCTCCTCCGTCCATGGAATTTTAACCTAGAAGGATAGAATGTGCTGGGAGGTGGGAGGGAGGTGCAACAGGGAGGGGGCATATGCATACCTATGGCTGATTCATGTTAATATATGGCAGAAACCAACAGAATATTGTCAAGCAATTGTTCTCTTTTTTTTTTTTTTTTCATTTATTTTTATTAGTTGGAGGCTAATTACTTTACATCATTGCAGTGGTTTTTGTCATACATTGAAATGAATTAGCCATGGATTTACATGTATTCCCCATCCCGGTCCCCCCTCCCACCTCCCTCTCCACCCGATCCCTCTGGGTCTTCCCAGCAATTGTTCTCTAATTAAAATTTTTTTTAATAAAGATATTAAGAAAAAATGAACCCCCCCCCGCTCCCCAAAAAAAGGATGAGAAATTATCAGAAGCTGTGCTTAGAAGTTCAGGAAATAAGATCCTTTTATTTATAGCTGGTTTATTCCAGCTAACATTGTGCAATTAAGTCTGCTTTTATGACTAAATATTTCTAGAGATAATATTTAAGAAGAATATTAAAACAATATTCTAACATTCTAATGATTTTGATTTTTTTATTGATGTTTATATTTGGTTTTAGGGTGGATCTATTTTATTAATAACAGGACCTCCTGGATGTGGAAAAACAACAACTATAAAAATACTAGCAAAGGAGCATGGTATTCAAGTACAAGAGTGGATTAATCCAGTTTTACCAGAATTCCAAAAAGATGATTTCAAGGAGATATTGAATCCTGGTAAGGTTTGTTGTAAAGGTAGTGAAAATAGTGGGAAAGTCTATGTTAACAGATGTGAAACAAGCCCCTCAGACCCTACTGGGTGTGTTTTTGAGAGGCAGGTATGTATTGCTGCTCCTACACTTGGTTGGCATCTGCCCACTACCAGCTGCTTCACAGTCAGAGTAGCAATCACATGAACCTTTATGGGTGCATTTAGGTTCAGAGAGAAGTAACTTTAGGAGAAGGAAGGAAAGGGTCCCTCCAATAAAAGAGGTGGTGCTCAGTCGCCTAGTTATGTCTGACTCAGTGCGACCCCATGGACTGTAGCCCACCAGGCTCCTCTGTCCCTGGGGACTCTCCAGGTAAGAATACTGGAGTGGGTTGCCATGCCCTCCTCCAGAGGATCTTCCTGACCCAGGGATCGAACCCAGGTCTCCTGCATTGCAGGCAGATTCTTTACCATCTAAGCCACCAGGGAAAGCCCTATGTAATGTAATATAATGTAATATAACTTCGCATATATGCTGATAAACTCCAGCATGATCATTTTTAACTTGCATAGCTTTCTTATTGCTGCTTTAGAGTAACTAGGCTAGGTGTATACAAATCACCTAGGCCATTTTGAAGTGCAGGGGTTTCTGTAGAAGGACAGTTATATTAGTATTTTAATGTGGGGTATTCTTTAAAATTCTCTTTTTAGGTTCTTCTATAACATCTGTGCATATGCACACCCTTTTGCTGCTACTTCTGGAATTTTTACTACTTTCTAATAGTAATGTTACTGTTGACATCTTTTTTTTTCCCTAGAAAAGTGTCTTTTAATAGATGGAAACTAGTATTGTAGTAAAGGTTGTTATATATCTAAAGTATCCAAAATGTAACTATTACATAGAAAAATTTTGAGTAAGCCAATACACTATAGAATTGTTGTCTTCAGTATAGGATATGCGGAGAAAAGAGTTTCATCATAGCACAAAATAATGAGTTAAAGTGAAGTCGCTCAGTTGCGCCCGACTCTTTGCGACCCCATGGACTGTAGCCTGCCAGGCTCCTTTGTCCATGGAATTTTCCAGGCAAGGATGCTGAAGTGGATTGCCATTTCTTTCTCCAGGGTACATTTGACAATCTGAAAAGTCTTTATTTACAATCTTCTGTATAAAATATTACTTCTTGTAGTCCTAATAAGTTTACTAATCAGTCATTCTGTTTTTGTCATTAAAACTTACTAAAGTAAAACTTACTATTATTGAAAATAACTTATTTATGATCACACACTTATTAGGAGAGTCTTCATTGTGTAGACAAAGTCATAAATATTTTTACCACTTTTATGATTTTTATACTAACAGCTGTGTTTTGAAATCAGTTAACTCCATATTACATTTCTTGGTACAGAAGCATTATACTGTTGTTCATAGTGAGTTTGTCTTTTGAAATGAATATTCTGTTTTAAATTTGAACAGTTTTAAATTAAAAAACAGTCTACAGTATTGTGTGCTACATTATCTTTATGTATATGTAAACATATTCAGTAATATTCAGTATGTTATGTACATATGTGTAACATTGATATATACATAATCTGTGGAAAATAAAAGTATTAAGTATGTTTCCTTTCAGAATCAAGCTTCCATATATTTCCCTATCAGTCTCAGATAGCAGTTTTTAAAGAGTTTCTACTAAGAGCAACAAAATACAACCAACTACAAATGCTTGGAGATGATCTGAGAACTGATAAGAAGATAATTCTAGTTGAAGTAAGGATAACTTTTGAAATTCTGCTGTAACTATTGAATAAACAATCGCAAGATATATCTTATGTGATAGTGACATTAACTCTCTCCATGGTACTAGTGGTGGTAAATTATAAAGTCTTTGTGTAATAGAATAAACCTAAAGTTTCTTGCATTAAACTTGGGTAGAGTAACTATAGGTTGCATGTGTGTACATATTATAGGTTAGTGAACTTTAAAAATGTAATGGCCTAAATGTAGAAAGGCAAAAAAATATTTGGAAAATGATGTCTTAGTGAGAATATTGTAACTTGTAGTGACCTGAAGAAATTTGATCTGAAAGTTCCATAGATGCTTGTTACTATTTAGGATATCAGCTAGTTGATGTCTTCAGCTAGTTGATGTTTAATTTCTACAGACGTTCTGATTATAGTACATTGAATAGGTAACATTTTTCCCCTTTTGGTAAATATAAGTCTGAAAATAAGTTTACATGGGAATAAAGCTGAGCCAGTGTTTATCCTTTGTTTTTGGTAGGACTTACCTAACCAGTTTTATCGGGATTCTCATACTTTACATGAAGTTCTGAGGTGAGTTTCAGTGAAGTCTCTTAAAGATCCAAATTAAATGACAGGAGGTTTAAATTTCAGCCTTGCTTGCTATCTTTTGTTATTTTAGGAAGTATGTGCAGATTGGTCGGTGTCCTCTAATATTTATAATCTCTGACAGTCTCAGTGGAGATAATAGTCAAAGGTTACTGTTTCCCAAAGAAATTCAAGAAGAGTGTGCTATTTCAAATATTAGGTAAGAATGAAATTTCTGCTTAAAATTACACATACGTATGACTGTATTTTTAATCACATAACCACTGTCTTTGTTTATAAAATTTTGACAGTTTCAACCCTGTGGCACCAACAATTATGATGAAGTTTCTTAATCGAATAGTGACAGTAGAAGCTAATAAGGTAAGTTTCTTAAGAACTGATTTTTTTTGACTTTACATTGTCATTATAGAAAGCCAAACTTAAGTGGTATTATATAAACTTGAATTAGAGACATTAATTGTCTCAGTTTTTAAAATTAAAAAAATTTAATTACACTCCTAAAGCATGTCATTTTAGAAAATGTAGGAAAGACTGATTTTAAAAACCCTTAACCTGGACTTTCCAGGCAGTGCAGTGGTTAAGCCTCCATGCTTCCACTGCAGGGAATGCAGGTTCAATCCCTGGTTGGGGAACCAGGATCCTGCATGCCATGCAGTGTGGCCAAAAAATAAAAAATTTAAACATCCTTAACCTTTTTATAAACTTAACTTTCTTTTTCACATTGAGGTAAATTTTCCTTTGCTTGGCTTAGTGTTCTAATTTGTGTCTATTGTTAAGAAACTATTGCCTGCCATCTTGGTTCATTAATCAGTTATAATCCAACTCTACTTTTGTCCTGTGTCACTTTTCAAAGATTTAGTAATTTTTTAAAATTATGGGAAAAAATACATCATAAAATTTACCATCTTAGACATTTTTTTCCAGCTTTATTGAGATATAACTGACATATAACATCATGTAAGTTTAAAGTGTATGACACATTGACTTGATAAAACTTATATAATGTAAAATGATCCCCACCATAGCATTATCTCATACCTCCATCATGTCATGTAAGTTACTTTTTCTTTTTTGTGATGAGAACATTTAGGATTTTTTTCTCTTAGCAACTTTCAAATATATAATATACACAGTACTATTAACTGTATTATATATTTGAAATATCTTAACCATTTTTAGCCATCCAGTTCAGTAGTGTTAAGTATACTATCGTTCTGAAATAGCTGTTACTTTTAATGCATCATTTTTTTTTTAATCTTTCAAATCAAGATGATAAATTAATGAAACTTCTCCTCTCAGCAGCATGGTTCTAGGTGGACCAGCTGCTATCAGTCAACTGGATTTTACATGAAACATAATTTGTTTTGCAATGCTGGATCACAGGAACTGAGGGAAATCTCCAGGGGAGAGGTTATGTTGAAGATTAAACAAAATAACACATGTATGTGGAGCACTTAGCTTTATAAATACAACTATTAATAGTGAAACATTAGAAACACAGTGAATTCAATAATAGAGGGAGCAGCTGCTGTGGTGAACTATTATGTCCTTAATGCGTATTTTGAAAATATTTAGTGATACGTGTGTATGCTAAGTCGCCTTAGTCATGTCCGATTCCTTGTGACCCTATGGACCGTAGCACACAGGCTCCTCTGTTCATGGGATTCTCCAGGCAAGAATGCTGAAGTGTGTTGCTGTGTCCTCCTCCAGGGGACCTTCCAGTGATTGAACCCATATCTCTCATGTCTCCTGCATTGGCAGGCAGGTTCTTTACCACTAGCGCCACCTGGGAAGTCCCATTTAGTGATAAAGGGATATACAGTTTAATGTCAAGTTAAAAATAACAGGATGCAAAGTTACATGATAATGCTAACAATAGAAATTATGTTTTCAGCCCTTGATATATGTCAGGCCTTGTGCAAGGTGTTTTTATATACCTGATCTTATTAAACCCTTACTACAACTATACAAAATTATCTCCATTTTGTGGTAAAGAAACTGAAATTTGGAAGGAAATAACTTGAATAATATTCCATGACTATTAAGTGTCAGATGAGTTTGAAGTTTTGTTCTGACTCCAATTTACTGTGCTAAAACAAAACATAGATTTGTTAATGACAGCCCAATGCATATATATACATAAACCTATATATACTAAAAGAAATAACATAAAGATGCTAAGTGTGATTCTGGGTGGTTGAATTACTTATGATTTTTTTCAACATTCTCTACCATAAGCATGATAACTATAAACTATAGTTTTAAATATTTATTAAAAAGTTGAAGAAATAATACTTTATCATGTGACTCACAATTTTCTTAAGACTAAGTCATTAAATTGCAAAGGGCATTTACTCTAGCAAGCTGTTTTATACTAGTACAAAGATTACCATAACTTCTTTGTTACGTATTTCATGTGCTGTGCGTGGTCCCTCAGCCATGTCGGACTCTTTGCCACCCCACGGACTGCAGCCCACGGGGCTCCTCTGTCCGTGGGATTCTCCAGGCGGGAATACTAGGGTGGGTTGCCATGGCCTCCTCCACAGGATCTTCCCAACCCGGGGATCAAACCCAGGTCTCCTGCATTGCACCAGGTTCTTTGCCATCTGAGCCACCAGGGACGCCCTAGAATGCTGGAGTGGGTAGCCTATCCCTTCTCCAGGGAATCTTCTCGACCCAACATCAAACCGGAGTCTCCTGCATTGCATGTGGAATTTTTACCTGCTGAGCTACCAGGGAAGCCCATAGTAAATGTGCTTTACCTTAAATAGTTGACCTGTGAGAATGTTAGAACTAGTATACTTTTGAAATCATCATTGATATGTCACATCACAGGAGCAGCAGTAAGCCAAATATTTAAATATAAATCAAATGTAAATATAAAATCACATGTTATGATACTGTCTAGGGTCGCCAAGGATGATAACGATAGTGTAAGAAGATTTAAATGAGTTTAATCTCTTTTATTCTGTAGCTTAGTTAATTATCTTAAGAAAGAGTATAGACATCTTATGTGAATGAGTTATAATAAAGAGTGTTGACTATCTTAAGTGTTTAAGTTTTTTTTTTTTCTTCCATTTATTTTTATTAGTTGGAGGCTAATTACTTTACATCATTGCAGTGGTTTTTGTCATACACTGAAATGAATTAGCCATGGATTTACATGTATTCCCCATCCCGGTCCCCCCTCCCAAGTGTTTAAGTTTAAATAAATGTTCTGTGTATTTATAGGAAAAAAGATCTTTAGTCTTTTTGATGTCATTAGGTTTATAGAGTGTGGAAGGAACTGCTGATCACACATTTCAGCCACATTTGCTATATTCACCATAGTTAACATCCGTAGTATTTTCTTCAGCTCCAAGAATCATGACTTTAAATTATATTTCCTTGCTGGCAAGTAATCCATATCTAATTTTTTTCAAAAACAAGCTACTCCTCCCAAAACAATTTTTAAAGTAAATGTGTTCACAATAAAAATGAAGTTAATCTGGAAGAAAAGGCATGAGCAAGAAAATTTTGTGAGTGATAAAGACTTGCTGTCCAGATATTGTAACATAATAAGAGACTTTAGAGAGTACAGCAGTGTGATATTAGTGTAGGAATAGACAAATGGAAGAATAAAATGAGAAGACAGCACAAAACTAGATCAGTATGTGTAAATGCGATTTTTTTTAATACAATGAAAGTGGCATTTTACATCATGAGGGAAAGAGAGGAGACTGTTAAATGGTTAATAAGTGGTATTGGAACAATTGCATATTCAAACAGAAGAACATAAGATTGTCTCTTTAGTTCATACTATGCAAAAAAATAATTTAAACCTTGGTTTAAAATTTAAATTAAAAATTAGAAGAGTATTAGGAAAAAAATACTTTGAGTTGGGAGAACATCTTCCTAAACAAAAAAAAAAACCTGAGAGCCATGGATTGACTTCAAAAAAATGGAAAACTTAGGAAATAACAGAAGACATGGTAAACAAAGATAAAAGACAAACATGGGAATGAAAGGCAAATGGATAGTAAACATGAGAGGTATTCAGGCCTACTAATAATCAGAGAAAAAGATTGATAAAAAGCGTTGCCAAAGATAAGGAAAAAATGGACACTCTCACCCACCATTGCTGGGAAAAATAAAATTGGTAAATAAAATTACAGACACTTTGAAAAACACTCTACAGAAGTATTCATGCATGTTGGCAAAGGTATATACAGTTGACTCTTGAACTGCGTGGGTCCACATATATATGCATTTTTTTCAGTAGTGAATACTACAGTACTACATGATCCATGATTGGTTGAATCCAAGGAATCAGAACTACACCTGCAGAGGGTCAACTATAAGTTATACGTGGATTTTTATCTGTGAGAGGGGCTCCTGTCACTAACCCCACACTATACAAGGGTCAACTATATATATAGTATATATGTATCTATATATATGTGTGTATATATATATATATATATATATATATATATGTCTGGAATGGTTGAAAAAAATGGAAACATGTAAATATCCCTTCATTGATGGAAGTATTAATTTAATTACTGTATACCCATAAATTTTTTTAAATTATATAGATTTAAAGGAACTAACATAGATCATAAAGAATGGAATAATACATATGATCCCCACTTGTGTTTAAAAAATTAACTCATTGTATATACTTCTAGTTACTGTATATACTTATAGATGGATGAGCACAAAAAATGGTCTGGAAAGGTTCCTACTAAAATGTTAGCAGTTGTGACAAAGTTGGAATTGTGGAGACTAGAAGTATACTAACATGCATAAAGAACTTTTAAGACAGCTTTCATTAATACAGTTAAAAATATATTGAAAATCATAGCACAGTACTGTTTTTCTGTTTTAAGCAATTTTTACAGGACCTGAAATGGGTTCACCTTTGAGCAATCACATGAATTCAGCTAAAGTCATATTGTCAGTAAACTATTAAGAATTTCTGAAGGAAAAGAGAGGATAAATTTCTCTTGCCTTATACTTGATCTACCAAGGATGTGAAATGTGATATATCATATACCTTAAATAACTGCATGAAATTTAGGCTTTAAGTATGAGTTGATGCAGTTGTGGTTTTTTAATACTCACCAGACTGTATTAATGTGGTGAAGACTCCAGTGTAGGGATTTACATGTACATTTCAAATTTTCTTGTGTATTTAGTTTTATTATGTTATATTGTATTTTGAGGTCTCTCTGTGTGTATATATATGTATGCATGTATATATGATGTATATGTATATATATCTGATGTATATGTGTGCATCTATACATTTGTATATGTGTGTGTATACATACACACACACACACACACATATATATATATATATAGTGAGAAAGATAACTTCAAAATATTATATAGCATAGTCCAAGTAAAAAAGACTATGGTGTCATTGACACTTGTGCCTTCATAAGCAGGCTATTATTTAACATGTAGGCTTTTTGGCATGCAAATTTGAAAGGTTCTAATATACTTTGATTAAGTTTAGAAAATAGAGAGGTTTGTTTGTTTTTTGTTTTAGAAAACATATATTTTAAAAATTTTAATTGTTTCATTTTAGAATGGAGGAAAAATTCTTGTCCCTGATAAAACTTCTCTAGAGTTTCTCTGTCAAGGATGCTCTGGTGATATCAGAAGTGCAATAAATAGCCTCCAGTTTTCTTCCTCAACAGGTAATTGGGAAAGATACACTCATAGTATTATATAGGTGAATAACTTTTTCTTGTTCATGAAATTAAATTAAACATACTTTAACTTGAAATTGATATATTTTTTATTGAGACATTATTAATAAAATTATGTATGTGTGTGTACATAGACACATCCCTGTGAATGTGTCACCGTATATAATTGCATATATGAGATAAAAGCTTATTTATTTACATGGTTTGCCACTTTACCTTTCAAAGTTAATTTGGAATGAGACTTCCTGGGAAAAAATTCTGGCTCTGCCACATTTTAATGACTTAATCGTGCAAGTTACTTAGTCTTTCCATGGCTTTATTTTTTCACCTCTTATATGAGCACCTGTCTCATCAAGTTGTGTGAAGAGTAAGTGAGGTAATACTTACAGAGTGTTTATTCCAGGGCTTGACACATACTAAGTTATCAAATGGCCAGCTGTTAATGAATTTAATATTAGGATATAGGATATGTTTAACAAATATATTTACACTTATTAACATATAAAAGGAGTGCCTAGCCATGCTGAAGTAAAGAGATAACCCCACTAATGGCAATGAATTATTTTTATTCTTAATGATCATAATTTACTGCACATAGTTGTCATCAGAAAACTTTTAACAGGTGACCTACTCGATGCTTAACACTGAGGGATTGACTTTAAAAAATTAATAGCTCTTTGGCGCTCTCAAAATCCACCTGAAATCTAGTTTCTATCCACAAGTGTAACCTGTTCACTTAGTTACATCTTGTTTTTCAAAATAACTGTAAAGAATTAGACATTTTAACTCAACTAAAACCAAAATTCTGCTTCTTCCTATAGAAACGTAAATTATCCTTAGGTTCACTACTAGAATTAGGGGTGGATCAGTTTGAGATCCTAACTACCGTTTATAATATTATTGCTCTGAACTCAGAAATTTCAGAAGGAAGAAAATAATAATTTTTGGGTGGGTTAGAAACTATCTTAGCAGTTATATGTTTTTTCATCTAATTCTCAGACCAGCCTGATGAGATAGTACTAGGGTTCAAACCCAGATCCTGTGTTTCTGCTCTTCCAAGCTGGTTTTCTTTTCTTTTTTTTCAGGCTGGTTTTCTAAAATCATGTACCTTGAATTTTTAAAAGTAGATTTTCCAATGAAATTTGAACATGGGCATATTCATAAATTGGAGACTGTCCAAATCAGTAAAGAAGTAATAGAGACTGATTGTTAAGTAAGGTTTGCAGAACCAGACTGCCCAGATTCAAATCACTTACTAACTGATGACCTTAGCCATTTACTTAACCTCTTATGTCTCCATTTCTTTACTCTGTATAGTAATCGTTCTTCCCTGATAGAGTTGTGAGGACTGAATTGGTTAGTACATACCATGCACCAAGAATAGTACCTTGCCTTTGTGGGAAACCAAGGTGATATAACTATATTGGAGAGTATGTCATCGTGTATGTGAAAATTTGAGATTTGTCGAGTCATATTTTATTTATTTTTATTGTTGCAATGTTTATTATGTATTTGACACACATACACAAAACCTAAGGAGAAAAATTAATTGTACAAATCAAGCTTACTCATATGTAAACAGTTCTGGTGGGACTACATAATTTCAGTCACTGAAGATTAAATCTAGCTCATGCCATACTTTTAGATGACATTTTATGTCATTTTAGTAGTTTAGTAACTGGAAGAGGACTCTGACTCAGTTTGTATACCTCATTATTATTTATTAGAAAAGCATTTAAACTAGAATACTTAGTGTAACTCTGTCTGAAATGTTCTGTTTTACTTTTCATGTTTTAATTTTATTTTAAATATTGTTTCTTTGGTTTATATTATTTAGGAAAGAACAATCTACGGCCAAGGAAAAAAGGAATGTCTTCCTTAAAATCAGATGCTGTGCTGTCAAAATCAAAACGAAGACAGAAAACTGATAGGATATTTGAAAATCAGGAGGTCCAAGCTATTGGTGGCAAAGATGTTTCCCTCTTTCTCTTCAGAGCTTTAGGGAAAATACTATATTGTAAACGTAAGAAAACATTATACATTTTTTAAAAATATCTTACTATCTTACAATTAAAATTTAAGAACCCTATTTTTCAGAATGTCATATATTTGGTTCCGTTTCAAGAAAGAGCTAAGATAGGTCAGCTACTCTTTGGCATGACATAAGAAAGACATAGCAGGAAAATGTACTTAGAGTATTTTTGTATTATAAGTGGAATTAAACATAAAAATCAACTATTGAAAAAAAAATCAGCTGTTGAAAAATCTTCAAATGAAAGGTGCTATATAAAGATGGTGTTATTTTTTAATAATGCCAGACTGTTTTTTTGTAGGAGCACCTGTAACAGAAGTAGACTCACCTCGATTACCTTCTCATTTATCAGAGTATGACCGGGATACATTGCTTGTTCAACCTGAGGTAAAGTCTTTAATAACACTTAGTACTATCTACACAGTACATACTGTTTACATTTGTGTCTATATAAATTTGACCAGTGAATTTTTACTAAAATTATATATACTTATTTTTTTATAGGAAGTAGTAGAAATGTCACACATGCCAGGAGAGTTATTTAATTTATATCTTCACCAGAACTATGTAGATTTCTTCACAGAAGTGGATGATCTTGTGAGAGCCAGTGAATTTCTGAGTTTTGCGGATATCCTCAGTGGTGACTGGAATGTAAGACTTAAGTGGTGTTGTTTATGACTATTTCCTCAGAACTGAGAAAGAAATTTTACTTTTATTCATACTTATGTGACATTATTTTAATTAACTTCTTAATAACTATGACAAAATTAATTTCATGCAACCAGTGTTTGCAGAGAAACTTCCTCAGTGAATCTGCTTTTTCTATGTTAATATAGCACTAATTTTTTCTAAAGTTATTTTCTGATAATAAAACTAATACATAGTTGGAAAATTTGACAAATTGAAAAATAGATTGAAGGGAAGATTGAAGGGAATGTGCTCCTTTCTTTCCACTTTTTCTTTCAGCCATACCATGTGACATGTGGGGTCTTAGTTCCCTGACCAGGGAATGCCGTGTGCTACTTTCTGATAGTTTTTAAATTTATTTATTTAAAATTTGAAATTATGCACTATAAAGTTTGAAATTTTTCTTAACATTTTAACTTTGCTCTGACTGGTATAGTAGTCACTAGACGTATATGACTATTTAAGTAAAATTAAAAATTCAGTTCCCTGGTCATGCTAGCCATATTTCCAGCATTTAAAATTTATGATACAGTTTCTGTTATATCCTTAGGATTTCATTATTTAGCAGTTGCATTTGCTTTATTATTTTATATTGCTTTTTTTTATTTTGAAATTTTATAACTATTGACAAATAGAATATACAATGACTATCTGAATACCTTTAACTTTTGTTCATCAATTTTCACATTTTTCCACATTTGCTTAGTCTGTATTTTTACACACTTGTTTTGGCTGAATACTTGGAAAGTAATTGTAGCATCACAGACTTATTTAAGCCTGCATAAGGACAGTGCTCTATTACAACCACAATAGTATTATCACACCTAAGAGAATTAACATAATCAGTATGAATTATGATTAACATAAATTCAGTAAGGATACTATCCTTCTTCCTGTTTCCCGGTTACTTCAAAAATGTATTTAAAGTTATTCCTACCACCCCCGTCTGATACACAATTAATTGTCCACACATAGCATTTGGTGATTTCATCTCCGCTGAATTTTCTTCAGATAATTTTGTGGCACTATTATGTTTAGGGCTGTGGTGAATGTGACAAAAAAGGACTATGTAGTAAATAAATACGGTTAGCCTTTTGGGGGAGTCAGTAGTACCAATAAGTACTATCTTACAAATCTCTTTATTTTCTTTATTTCACATCTTGTCTCCTTTTTTAGACACGCTCTTCTCTCAGGGAATATAGTACATCTATAGCTACGAGAGGTGTGATACATTCCAACAAAGCCCGAGGATTTGCTCATTGCCAAGGAGGAGGATCAAGTTTTCGACCCTTGCACAAACCCCAGTGGTTTCTAATAAATAAAAAGGTAAAAAACAGAATTGTACATTTTCAATAAGTGAACTCCTTATGGTGTGAATTATATCCCAATAAATCTATTTTTTTATTTAAGAGAAAAATGATCTTTCATTCTTAATAAGAAATGGTTGCTAAGGCTTATAGTTTTTTTAGAATTATGATAAAACATTAAAAGAACAGTCTTCTTAAATGCTTTTTTTAAAGAAAAAACACTCAAAATTTGAAAGCATGTACTTATTTTATTGGAGTCAAAGTATGCAGGCCTACTTTGTTTCACTGCACTTTCTTAAAGTGCTTTGCAGGTAATGTGTTTCTTACAAATCAAAGGTTTGTGGCAATCTTGCATCACGCAAGTCTGTCAGCACCATTTTCCCAACAACATTGCTTATTTTGTGTCTCTGTGTCATACTTTGATGCAATATTTCAAACTCTTCACCAGCAAAAAGATGATGACTGGATGAAGGCTCAGGTGATGGTTAGCATTTTTTAAGCAATCAATTTTGTAATTAGTAGGCTTCCCAGGTGGCTCAGTGGTAAAGAATCCACCTGCTAAGCAGGAGACATGGGTTCAGTCTCTGGGTAGGGAAAATCCCCTGGAGAATGAAACGCAATGCACTTCAGTATTCTTACCTGGGAAATCCCATGAACGGAGGAGCCTGGTGGGCTACAGTCCTTGGGGTCACAAAGAGTCGGACACAACATAACGACTGAACAGCAACAAATTTTTTATTAAAGTATGTTGCACACTTTAATAGACTATAGTGTAGTGTGAGCATAACTTTTATTTTCACTGGAAAACCACAACATTTCTGTGACTTGCTTTATTGTGATATTCACTTGATTGAAGTGGTCTAGAACTGAACCCACGATACTCTTGAGGTATGCCTGTAGTTATATTTTTGTTTCAGTTGAAAATAAATCCTGGCTTTACCTCTAACCATCTGGACAAGTTATTTCACCTAGTATGCCTTTAGATTCTGATTCCACAGCTATAAATGTATAGGATTGGATTATTTAGAAGTCAAAAACAGGTGGCTCACAATTTGAATACAATACATAACACAAACAGATTTTTTTAATCAACTGCCCATGTTTAAAAATTAGTTTAATAGTTAAAACTTGAGTGTCCTGAAAAAAAAAAAAGAGGGCCACATTGGTCCATATTTTACATGGCCGTAATTGGCTCAAGCCAAGGATAACCTGCCCGTTGGTGGTGGGAGTGATCGATGCCACTGTCCCCAGCAGTTCTGCTGCACTGATTTCTTTTTTTTTTTTCTTCTTTTTTTTAATGCTTATTTTATTTTATTTTTATTTTTTTCCCATTTATTTTTATTAGTTGGAGGCTAATTACTTTACAGTATTGTAGTGGTTTTTGTCATACATTGACATGAATCAGCCATGGATTTACATGTATTCCCCATCCCGATCCCCCCTCCCTGCTGCACTGATTTCGATTACCTGCCTGACTCCTATAGCTTCTGACTTTGTGACCCCTGAACTAGGTCATCTCTAAGATGTCTTCCAGTTCTAAATTCTTGTGGCTAAAATATTAAAGTATCAGTCATTACCTAAGAAAAATCTTTCAGTGGATTTCTTGGAGCAATTTTTAAGCAATTTATGTCCCTTACTGACTTGCTTTGCTCTTTATAACATGTGTATTAATTTTGCATTTGTTACATATAAGTGATCTACAACTGTGAGCTCCTGAAACGCTAGAGATTATATTTCTCTTACCATCACCATAACACTGCACCTCTCTTTAACTGAAGAAAATACATTCTTTTATTGAGAAACAGTATCTTCACATAATTTGTGATATGTGTATGCTCATAAACAGAAATCCTTTAATGTTTTTAAGGACCTTCTACCTAAGGTCTTGTTCTTTCTTCTGTTATATCAAATGTGAATTAGTTGTACAGATAAAGTGCTTTGTTAAATAATACTAGGACTTACTTAGAAAAGACCCTGATGCTGGGAAAGACTGAGGGCAGGAGGAGAAGAAGGAGACAGAGGATGAGATGGTTGGATGGCATCACCCACTCATGGACGTGAACTCTGGGAGACAGTGAAGGACAGGGAAACCTGGGGTGCTGCAGTCCATGAAGTCATAGAGAGTCAGATATGACTTAGCAGTTGAACAAAAACAATAGGACAGTTATAAAGGACTAATCAAGCTGCTTGATGAGGCCAAAAAAAAAGACTGATGAGATAAATTCTTAAAGTATCTAGTGTAGAAACCAACATATATTGTGACATAATAAACTTATGTGTAGGAATAAATATCCATATTTAAATTTTTATTTTTCATTTCTCCGTTTTTTTTCTTCTCTACAGTATCGGGAAAATTGCCTAGCAGCAAAAGAACTTTTTTCTGACTTCTGCTTACCAGCTTTGTGCCTGCAGACTCAGCTATTGCCATACCTTGCTTTGCTAACCATTCCAATGAGAAATCAAGGTAATAACATGGGTTTTTATTATTCCCAAGAAGTAGTGTTTTATAACATTATATTTTTGTGCATCAAGTTGTTTCTGTGTACCACTGACACTCAGTTTTTTCCCCTTTGTTTTTTGAATCAGAATTAATACTGCTTTTTGATTAAAAAAAAGAAGTATATAACGTAAAAATCGAAAGTCCCCTGTAAACTATGGGTAATTCCTTTTCACAGATTGGTGTAAATTCTTCTAGAGTTTTTTTTGTGCAGATATAATAATGAAAGTAAACTTTAATTTGCTTTTGTCACTTATCATGCATAGAGCTCCATATTTTATAAATTAGCACAAAGGAGCTCTGGAGGTTGGGAAGTCCCAAATCAGGGTGCCAGCATATCCAGTGTCTGGTGAGACCTACTTTCTATTTTGCAGATGGCCGTCCTATTGTATTCTGACATGGTAAAGAGAGGAGGAAGAAAGCTCTCTCTGGGGCTCTTACATAAAGGCACTAATCCCATTCATGAGGGCTCTACTCTCCTGACCTAAGCACCTCCTAAGGCCCCATCTCCTAAAGGGGTTAGGATTTCAAAATATGAGTTTGAGGTGACAGAAACATTTAGTCCGTAATAGCAGCAATGCTAAAGTACATTCAGATCTAACTCATTCAATCTTATTGGTAATGTATTTTGGTTGATTCAGTATTACAAATAGTGTCCATTAATAGTATATTTACATTGTTTTTCCTGATCTTGAAGTTATAAATAATGCTTTAAAAAAAAGCAAGAGAACTCTACGGTGGTCCAGTGGTTAAGAATCCACCTTCCGATGCAGGGGATGTGGGCTCAAAGATCTCACAGGCTGTGAAGCCACTAAGCCCACCCGCTGCAGCTAGAGAAAGCCTGCACGCTGCAGAGACTCGGCGCGGCCAAACCTGCGACACCCACTTGCCCGATAGGTGTCCCCTGAGGTCTGCCTGGTTTGAAGAGTACCCATTTTCCATCAGTTGTTTCTCTTTTTTAACATGTAAGGGCCATATTTCCTTAACAGTCTTAGGTCACATGTCTGTGGTGCTGACCTTCAAGGTAGAACAGAGAATTTGTGTAATATTGAAAATATAATCTACTACATAACTCATCAAACTTCTCATAAGTTTTATTTCTTTTTATTTGGCCACATCCCGTGGTATGTAGCACCTTAGTTCCCTGATCAAGAAATGAACCCACACCCCCTGCGTTGGAAGGCAGAATCTAGACTGCCTTGTAAAACCACTAGACTGCTAGGAAGTCCCAAAACTTCTCATAAGTTTCAGAGATAGTATTTGTCTTATGAGTGGTCAGAGGAGAGGATTATTGAGTAAATGTCTACCTACATACAAGAGTTTCATCTTTTAAGAATACTGATACTTAAAAATTTTAAATACTCTATAGGCAGAAATGAGATGACTTTTGAATAGTGTGTGTGTTTAATCTGTGAGTCAGAATCCAGAGAGTTCCCTATACTGGCCGATTAATTTTAGATTATACTCATCTTTATTTATTTGGCTGTGCTGTGTGGCTTATGGGATCATAGTTCCCTGACCAGGGATTGGACCTGGGCCTTTAGCAGTGAAAATGTGAAGTCCTAACTACTGCATCGCCAGGGAATTCCCAGATTTCGTTAGCTTTTAAACCTAAAAATTACAAGAATGGTACGAAGGAAATTCTTATATATCCTTCACCAAGATTCCTCAGTGTTTCATTTTTACCATATTTGCCTTTTTTTCTTTGTCTTTATACACATATGTACACAAACATATGTATTTTTTCCAAACCATGTTTGAGGAAAGTACAGACATGATGCCCATTATTCTTAAACACTTCAGCATGTACTTCCTGAAACCAAGGATATTCTCCTACATCACCACAATATATACATCAAAATCAGGAAATTAACTTTGATACATTACTGCTAATTCGTAGTTTAATTATTAGACTCCATTTATAATTTATAGACCCCATTCAGATTTTGCCAATTGTCCTAATAATGCCCTTTGCAAAATAACAACCAAAACTTGTTCTCTTTGTTGTCCAGAAATCCAGTGCAAGATCAGATGGTTCACTTAGCTATTCAGTTGCTATCTCTTTAGTCTCCTTGATCTAGAATGGCACCTTGTTTCTTGGTCCGTTATGTCTTTCTTTGGCTGCACTGGGTCTTCCTTGCAGCGTGCAGGCTTTTTCTGCGCTTGTGGCACACAAGGGCTCCTCTAGGCGCGGCTCACGGCCTTCTCTCGTCGGGCCCTCTGGCTTCTGGCTGTGGAGCGTTGGCTCTAGGGCACACAGACTCAGTAGTTGCAGCACATGGGCTTCTGTAGTTGTGCGCATGAACTTAGTCATTCTGTGGTATGTAGGATCCTAGTTCTTGACCAGGGATCAAACTTGTGACCTCTGCATTGGAAGGCAGATTCTTAACCAGTCGCCCACCAGGGAGGTCCCTGTCCATTACATTTTTGATTGTTACAAAATGAACTGTCCCTCAGTTTTGGTTTATCTGAGGATTTGGGTTTATCTGTCTTTGAGTGGATACAGGGTATGTATATTTGTCAGGAATACCACAGAAGTGATGCATTGTTCTCAGTGTATCACATCCAGAGAACAGTGTCTATTTATACCATACTGGTGAAGTTAACTTTAATTATTTGTAAGATAATTATCTCTGAGGTTCTCTAATGTAAAGTTATTAAGTGTTTCTTGAGGAGACACTTTGAGACTATGTAAATATCCTGTTTCTCATTAAAATTTCACCCACTAGTCATAGCATCATTTGATAATTATTTCCTGAATCTGTGATAGTTGGCAAGTCATGATTTTCTAATGGCATTATTCCTTCTACATTCCTGTTAGTAAATTCTACTGTAAGGTATCGCTTCACCCTCTTCCCCGTTTGTTTATATTAGCATCGAGTCTGGATTCTTATTTTGTCAGCTGTTGTTTCTCACTGTCATTATTTATTTTGGTTCCAATTTGGTCAATGCAGGCTGCTTTAGGGTGAGCCTGTGCCTTTACTCTTAGAGTAGTTTCTGATACAAAATGTTCCAGAATTATTTCATACTTTGCTGCAAAAAAACATCCTATTTTTGGACTTAGAAATCTCCAGGAGTTCTGGTTCCTTTAGTGGATATGGACCTGTCTCCCACTTTGCTAAATATATTTATTTGATTCCTTTGTCTGTAACCTGTCTCCTAACCATGCAGGCTGTTCCTTCAGCTCCAGCCCGGTTGCCACCAGCTCATGTTGGCACAGCTGGCCACATTCTTTGTCCCACTCCCAGCTGTGCGACAGTGAATTGGTTTGATTTAATAAGAGTCCCCTTGGACAGGACTCGTCAGCATCACCTGGAAGCTTGAGAAAAATGCAGAATCTCAGGCCTCAGTCAAGACCTGCTGAATTGATTTGCCTTTTAATGAGATTCTCCAGGTGATTCTTATGCAGATGTTTGAGAAGCATTGGTTTGGATTACTCATGCTGGAATCATCTGGAGAATCATTATATCCACTAGTTACAAGTTCAGATTCCAGGATCACAACTCAGGTTTTCCATATCAAAAAGCTGTTTTTGAAAATCCTAATGGTGTTGTATATTGGATTTTTAAAAAGGTAAGTGTCCAAGAGCTCTCATAGAGTTTGATTTGCAAACTTGAGAAGGTTCATAAAATGTAGTCAAAAATAGGATGTTTTGGCTTTTCTTTTTATTCATCAAATTTTATTCCATTTCTTTCATTTTATTTACTATGTTATTTCAGACATTATCACTTTATGTTTCTTCTTTCTCACCATCCTCTTTTCTAGTCCTCCATTAGTGTTTGTTGGAAGGCTTAAAAAAAAGCATTCTGTTTTCTCTTTCATTGCATAATCTCTGTCAGTCTGTGTTCAAGGTTACAGATTGTTTCTTCTCCCTGTTCAAATTTACAGTTGAACCCCTCTAATGGAGTTTTCATTTTGATTATTGTACTTTTCAAGTCCAGATTTCCATTTGGTTCTTTTTGCAGTTTCCTTCTGTATTAAGGGCTTCCCTGGTGGCTCAGATGGTCAAGAATCTGCCTGCAGTGGGGGAGACCTGGGTTCAATCCCTGGGTCAGCAGATCCCCTGGAGAAGGGAATAGCAACCCACTCTAATATTCTTGCCTGGAGAATTCCACGGACAGAGGGTCCTGGCGAGATACAGCCTATGGTATCACAAAGAGTCGGATGTAATTGAGTGACTAACACAGTTCTCTTTATTGATATTCCCTATTTTATGAAGCATTGTCATTATAGCTCTCAGTACTTCTTTAAGTAAGGTTTCCTTTTGTTCTTTGAAAATCTTTATAATGGCTCCTATCTATGAAGTCTTTTTCTGTTGAGTGTAATGTCTGGTTCCTCTCAGAGTTTCTGTTACCTATCCTTCTCCTGTGTGTGGATCACATTTTCTTATTTCTTTGTATCATCTCACAATGTTTTGTTGAAAACTGGGCTAATTTGGGTAATATATTGTAGCTCCTCTGGGCACTGAGTCACCTCCACTCTCTGGGGCTTGTTTTTACTGTTGTTTGTTAATTAATTGTTTAGTGATTAGGCTAAACTATTGATGAAGCCTGTTTCCCCTACAGTATGAAGCTTCTGTCTCCTCAGTGCTCAGCTTTGGACATGCCCGCAATCACCATGAGATGACAGTGGCTTTAGGAGGGCTCTTTGTAACTGTCTCTTTCCCTTATTGTTAAATTGTCTGCCTTACTTGATATCACACTCACCTGTTCCGTTTCACAGTACTGGCAGATTGCGCCACTGTTTTCAGTAGTGTCAAGGGGCATAAATTATTCTACAGTCTGACCCAGTTAAATGTGGGCAGGTGGAGACCTTGAAGCCAGTGTCAGGTTTGTTGTGACCCCAGGGGGCCTCTTCTTACTTGTCTCTTTCCTCGTTCTTTTCTGGTAAACTGGCCGGCTTTTGCTCAGCTTGTTAGTCTCAATTAAGAGGAGCTGTTGGCTTCAAGAGGGCCCCTTGTCTTGAACTCCCCAACATTCTGTTTCTTAGAAAGCCGGTTCCTTTGGGTAGAGCTTCAGAGCTCCCTTTTCATACAGAATGCCTCTGGGCAAAATCTCTTGAGCCACTGTTTTGGGTGTGTGCTCAGTTGCAGGGAGCCGCTGATGATCTTGGCTTGGGCTCTCCCACTGAGGACATTCTGCCCTACAAATGAGTTGGGGTGAGGGTGATTGCAGTTCAAAGAGGAGGCAGTGTTCTTGCGCTGCTGTACTCTGGGGTAGAGCCTCCATCCTTTGCTCGGGGCTGGGTGGAGAAAGGGAGCCCCAGACCCTTGGCTGGCCACACTCACTAGGGGAAGCTCTGTGTTCTTGGCTGCATTCACCTGGAGTGAAGTGTCTCCCAAGCTGAGGAAGGGGAAGAGCAGATCATGACTCAAATGCGAGACTCTTTGCTGTTAGATTTTCTTGAGTAAATGTTTCTTCGTAACATAACATTTACCATCTTAAACTATTTTATTTGTTTATTTGGCTGTGCTGGGTCTTTGTATCTGCACAGGCTTTTCTCTAGCTGTGGCAAGCGGGGGCTACTCTCCTATTTGCGGTGCGCAAGCTTCTCATTGCAGCGGCTTCTCTTGTTGTGGAGCACAGTCTCTAGAGTGTTCAGGCTTCAGTAGCTGCAGCTCCCGGGTCCAGAGCACAGGGTCAGTAATTGTGGCACACGGGCTTAGTTGTTCCACAGCACGTGTGATAGTCCTGGACCAGGGATCAAACCCGTCTCCTGCACTGACAGGTAGAGGGAAGCACCATTTTAAACTATTTTTAAGTATAAAGATCTCCTGGAGAAGGGACAGGCTACCCACTCCAGTATTCTGGTCTGGAGAATTCCATGGACTATATAGTCCATGGGGTCACAAAGAGTTGGACAGGATTGAGCGACTTTCACATTTCAGTAGTCTTAAGTCTATTTACTCTGTTGGGCAGCCAATCTCCAGAACTTTTTCATCTTGAAAAATTGAAACTAACCACATTAAACACTAACCACCACCCTTCCACCCCCCATGTTACCCCCTAAAAACACTGCCTACTCTCTATGAATTTGACCACCCTCCATACCCCACTTTAGTGCAATCATACCATATTTGTCTTTTTATGACTGGCTTATTTCACTTAGCATGTCATCAGGGTTTATCCACATTATAGCATGTGTCAGAATTTCCTTCCTTTTTGAAGCTGGATAATATGACATTGTATATATATTTACCACATTTTGTTTATCCATTCACCTTTGATGGACACAAGTTGCTTCCACTTTTTGACTATTACCAATAATGCTGCTGTTATAAAAATGGGTATACAGATATTTCTTCAAGACCTTGCTTTCAGTTTCTTTCTTCCTTGGATGTATAACCAGAAGTGGAATTGCTAGAGCATATAGTTACTCTGTGTTTAAGTTTTGAGTTTGGAAAACTACCGTTTTCCACAGTAGTTACACCAATTTATATTCCTACAGCTCTGTCCGCATCCTTGTCACCTTGTTGTTTTACGAGTTTTTTTGTTAATAGTCATCTTAAGGGGTGTCTCATGGTTTTGGTTTGCATTTTCCTAGCTATTTGTGACTTTAAGCATTTTTTCATGTGCTTTCAGGCCATTCTTCTTTGGAGAAATGTCTATTTAAAACTTTTTAAAAATTTCTGTTTTAGCTCAGATTTCTTTTATCCAAGATATTGGAAGACTTCCTCTAAAGCGACACTTTGGAAGGTAAGCTGATCATTTTCATTTTCAAACCAAATACTTTATCTATTTATTCATTATACAGTCAGTAATCTGTAAAGGTTAAGAAATACATATTGTACCAGTGATCAAAAACTATATGATCACATTGTAGACCCATCTATTATATTTATTACATTTAACAGCATTTTTCACCAGCTCAGAATCGGGTTAAATAGAATCATCGGATTACAAAGGCAGTGGAATCTTTAAAATCCTTGAGTTCAGCCATTTTTGCATAACTGAAAACCCTTTTGCGTAACGTGTTCTTAGCATATATTTTCACTTTCATGCATTGGAGAAGGAAATGGCAACCCACTCCAGTATTCTTGCCTGGAGAATCCCAGGGACAGGGGAGCCTGGTGGGCTGCCGTCTATGGGGTCGCACAGAGTTGGACACGACTGAAGTGACTTGGCAGCAACAGCAGCAGCATATATTTGGAGTATATGATGGTCAGGAACTTTTTATTTCTTTATCACTGAAAATTCAGACAAGTGAAAAAATATATAAATATAGGGATAAATCTCCATCTATACCATTCATTCTATTGCAAAATAGCTTCTAGGCTAATATCATTGATTAACACAGTGCTTGTAGTTCATTTCTACTTGGGTTATGTGTAAGATCAAATTATGCATTCAGGCATTCTAAAAAAGGTTTAAAAAGTACTTGCATCCTGGTTTTAAGGATAAAGGTAAATGACAGAAATGGCACCTATTACCCCTTCCTCTGGTTCTCCTATTCCTGGTCCCAAATGGAAAACTTGCTTGTCTGGGATTTTTTTCCCTCTACCTTCATAGATTCAATAAAGGCCTTTGTTTAATGGTTTCTTCTGTACAGTGACTTAGCTATGGGAAGCGCATCTTTCCTTTTACAGAAAGATAACGATGGATGGATTTTAGAGCATCATCCCAGTGGATGATCAGGGCTCAGACCTTTTAAACTTCCCTTTTTTCCTCACTTCTCAATCAAAGAAGGACCAACTATTCTCACTGGCTCCTTTCCCTCCAAGATTATGACACCAAAATCAAAGGAAGACCCTTGTCTTCTGTTGTCTTTTTCCTCCTAAGATGTAATTAAAAGAACGAGAGTCACTCTTTTATTATTGGTTCAAGTACTTGATCTGAACTGGGAGGCAGAATTTGTCAGTGCTACTTAACTGGTACTGCTGTCTTTCACTTACAGTGACCATATTTAATATTATCTTTGATTTATATTGATAATGTTGAATATTCTGATACTTAAACTTGATATTTAATATTTCTATTTAATAGCGGCACAGTTTCCTTTAATTGAACCTACACCTTGTTTTGTATTAATACATTTAGCTTGTTTCCAGCTTTTATTGTTACAACCTTCCTTGAAGCTAAATCATCATGTATATCAAATACTATTTATGTAGGATGAATTCTGTGATGTAAAATTGCTGGATCAATGGATATACACCTTTGCTCTATGTTGCCAGATTGCTTCCAAGAATATTTTGCCAATCTTAATGCCCACTTACAGTGTTTCAGCATGTTCTTTTCTCCTAACGCTTTCCACCACTGGGTTTTATTATCTTAAAAGGTCTTTTCCAGTTTGAAAGATGACAATGTTAATTTCCATTTTAAAATTACAGATTAGGTTGAGCAATTTATTTAGTAACCATTCTTCTCTGTAAGCTCTCTGTTCATGTTTTATATCTGTTTTTTTATTTATTTCATTTAATTTTTTCTTTTCATAAGAACTGTTTACTAAAGATATTAACTTGTGTTATAAGTTGTAATGATTTATTGTTTGTCATTTACCTTTTCGTTTTGTTTATATTGTTAAATAAACTGGAGCACCTGGTTAAAAAGCACAGGAAGGTAAATGAGAGACTATGGGAGATGGCTTTATAATCTTCAAACTCTTGATGTAATTTAAAGGAATCCTCTCCTTTGATGATTATTAGTGCCTGTGTTATGAACCTGGCAGGTTGAAAATGGAAGCCCTGACTGACAGGGAGAATGGAATGATAGAGGCGGACAGCGGAGATGAAGCCCAGCTTACTGGAGGGCAGTCTGCAGAGGAAGCACTGGGTGAACCCACTCAAAGCGCTGAACCTGAGACCTGGTCTCTTCCTTTGAGTCAGAATAGTGGAAATGAACTGCCGGCCAGCCAGCCTCAGCCCTTTTCAGCCCAGGGAGACGAGGAAGAAGACGACATGATAATAGAAGACTATGAGAGCGATGGGACATAGAAAGCAGCCTGCCCATGAGATTGTTAACTGACAGAGTCATACTCATGTTATTCAGTGGTACTTGAACGGTGATAATAGACTTCAGGTGAATTAGTTAATTCTTCTCCTAGTATTTCAGCACAGAGAACTGACCTCTGTTATATTGAAGTAAATAGAAGCTGAAACCTTGAAATAATCTGTTTCTTCCTCTAGTATTTATTTAGTCTTGTGAGTGGTGTTGGGAGAGGAGGTCAGTGTGTATGAAATGCGTTTGAACGTTATGCCAAATACCAGAAAATGTGAAGGAATAATTCAGAACACAGAAACTCTATGGGCTGTAAATAAGAATTATAAAACAGCTTAGGATGCAATTATGAGTGTAAATAAACTTTGTGCCTTATTCACAGTTTCTCTCTGGTCTGTAGCTTCTCAGATACCATTTTTATATGTTGTACAGTGGAATATTTTAGATAACTTTCTGGAAACTATTTACATAATTTATATAAAAATTAAAATACTGAATTTTATTGTTTCTTCTGTATTTCAATGTTTCCTAACATGCACTGTCTGCCATGTATCATTGGGCATAGGACACAAGTCTTCATCCAGTGCCAAACTTTTTCAAAAACAGGGAAGGAAGGGAATGGCAACCTTGCGAAGAAAACTCTCCAGAGGGTTTAACCTCACCCTTAAAGACCTTTCCAGAGCTCTCCCAGCGGAGCCTGATCCGAAGCTATTGCTATAAGGTGTGGTTGGGAGGTGGTGGGGAAACCGACCCGCCCAGGCCCCAGGCGGGAGTCCGGGCCTCACAAAGCCGGGCGGAGCGAAGCTCGGCCCGGCCCCGCCCCAGGAGCCGACCTGGGTTTCAGAGCCGCGGGCGGCGAGGGCGCTTTGGCAGGTGGCCGCTCAGGTGAGCTGGGCCGGAGGGGTGGGGCCCACGTGACCGGGACGCTGGCGGGGAGGGGCCGGCGGACCCCAGGCAGGTGTGCGGTGGGGGGCAGGCCCCTCAGAGCGTCCTGGGCGCGCGCGCTGGCTGCGCGGCCCGCCACTACCTTCGGCCGAGGCCGGCCGCCGGCGCGGTAAGGGGTGCGGGCCCCGGGGAGAGCTGGGGCCTGGGAAGCGGGAGGGCCCCTCGGCCTGCCAGATTTCCTGCGGCGGACGCAGGTGCCGGGCGAGACGCGCCCCACCCCCGGCCGGGAAGCCGCGGTGCTTCCGGGCGCAGGGCTATCCCGACCTGGGCCGGTCCGGCCCAACTTAGTTCCGGCCGCTTTGGGGCGGAATCTTGACAGACTGAGAGTGCATTTTCACTCCGGCGCGGAGACGCGTGCCTGGGGGTGCAGAGCTGGAGACCGACCGAGATAGCTGGGGCGGGGGGCGGAGCGACGAGCCGCGGCCTGGGCAGAGACCCCGACAGGGATGCTTGCTGTTCCCGGGCACCCGCTCGGGGCTCCGGTTCAAAGCGCAGTTCCCTTTCCACTGGAAACCAGTAGTGTGTAAAATCTGCCCGTGTCTGGGGCCCAGCGTAACTTTAAAAGCCAGCTAAGTGGTGATTCTGTGGTGTCAAGGTGACCAACTGAATTCCTGTAACACTTTACTGGAGAGGACCGTTTCTTCTAATCACCGCTACGGAGTGTGCAGACCGAAAGAAATCAGGGCCCGAATGAAGTCGGGACCCAGGGGCTTGGACAAAACAAAGCCTCAGCGTGCTGATTCTAACTGGACGCTCTATGAGACCCTGAAAGATGCTAGGGGTATCCAGATGTTGAAATGTAAAAATACAACTGACTGGACCTTTCTAAAATCACATAATTTGCTATTACACATTTCTTCAGATTTGGAATTTTGACTTTTTAAGGTGATCTAAGGTTTCCCTTGTAGCTCAGTCAGTAAAGAATATGCCTGCAATGCAGGAGACCCAGGATTCCTGGGTCGGGAAGATCCCCTGGAGAAGGAAATGGCAGCCCACTCCAGTATTCTTGCCTGGAAACTCCCAGGAACAGAGGAGCCTGGTAGGCTACAGTTCATGGGGTCACAGGAGCCGGACACGACTTAGTGACTAAACCAAACCACTACCAAGGTGATCTAATTCAAATAAGCTACTTTTCACAAGTCTTTCTTCGTTCAGTCGCTAGGTCGCATTGCACTCTTTGCAACCCCATGTATGTAGCCCTGACTGTCCTTAACTCTCTCCCTTAGTTTGCTGAAACTCATGTCCATTGAGTCGTTGATGCTGTCAGAAGTGAGCATAAATTATATCCATTATAGTGAAGTACATTTTTGCCAAACTGGTATCCCTTAAATGCCTGTATATCAAAGATATTGAAGGATATGTAAAGCTTGTTAAAGTTATTTGTTGTGCTTTGGCCTCTACTTTTTTTAGGAAACTGTATTTCAAGAATTGTACTATGCATCCTTAGAATTTAAGTACTTTTAGACTACAGATAAAGAGATAAAAGACCAAAAAATACTGCTAATTGCTGTCATTTATATAAACTGTTTTCTATACTAAATTTTTTCTCTGACTTTTCATTGGGCACCATGTTGAGACTCACAGTTAATTCTTTAAAATTGGAGTGTCCCATTCAGGCATTTTCTAAACACCAGAATTTAGACCTCTCCAGCTCCACTCAATACCCAGGTGATTGTATTTAGTCTGTGGTAGTATATACACTTCTGTGGGCAGCCTACCTACTTGTTAGCTTGCCTGAGCTTTTAACAGGTATCTTAGACTCACTTTAGATTGCTCCTCCAAGGACTAAGCTGGAGCTGTGTAGAAATGTAGATAAAATGATCTGATGTCTGGGATTTGCTTTAATCTATTGACAAAAGGGGTCTAATAATAAGGGGGAAGGTATAGATGAAACAGTATTGATAAGTTGATAATTATTGATTGTTGCTAATTTGGCACATAAGGGCTCCTAATACTATTCTTTCCACTTTTTATTGTGTTTGGAAGTTTCTTTATTAAAAATTTTAATTCCCTGTACAGACAGTTTGACCTCTTCTTGCTATCTTTGTTGCTACCACCATGGCCCATTGGAGTACAGTTACCCCTGAACAACACGGCTTTGAACTCTGAGGGTCCATTGAGATACTTTTTTTTTTTTTCAATAAATATATATACAGTACTGAGTGGTTTGCAGTTGGTTGAATCCATGGATTTGGAATCACAACTACACCTTACCAACTCCTGTGTTGGTCAAGGATCAACTGTATTTCAGTGACCTCCTAGCCAATCTCCCTCTTTTCACTCTTTTCTCCTGGAATGTACTATTAACACAGCATCCAGAGTGGTCCTGTTTAAAAAAATAATAACGTCATGTCAGACCTCTACTGAAAATTTTCCAATGGCTTCCCATCTCACTCCCAATAGAACCCTAAATCCTTTCTAGTGATGTTTAAGTCCTAAGGATTCAGACGGCCTCAATTCTAGTACACACCCGCTCATGCTGCTGCTGCCTCCATGCCTCAACAGTGCTAGGCACTCCCACTTTAAGGCTTTTACGCTAGCTGTTCCAGCTGCCCAAAACACTTCCCTGATAGCTGCCTGGCGTCTTCTCTCGTCTCCTTCGTTTCTATATTCAGGGGTCTTGTTCTCTCTGAAGAATTCCCTGGCCACTCTGTTTAAAATTATAGCATCCTATCCACACTGCACTTCTTACCCTCTTTCCTAACTTTGTTCGTTGGCATCTATTTCACTTGCCTTATCTATCATCTGTCATCCCTGCTCCCCACCCCCATAATTTAAGCTGCATGAAGGCAAGGATTTCCATCAACTTTTTTCACTGATACATCTTCAGCAAACCTGGTGCATGACCAGTACTTGGTAAATAATTGTTTGAGTGATAGATGTCTGTTTGACAAAGTAAAAACAAAGCCTTAGGAATTTCTAAATTGTTCAACATTGTAAAGGTGGGATTACCAGCTTTAATTCTGAGACCTTTTCAGTGCCAAGTACAATACCATGTGCCCAATGAGTCTTTAGTAAATACTCATGAGCAGTTTGAGGGAGAGGAGTGTTGTACCTTAAACGTAGTAGTTATAATAGCAAATAGTTTCCTTTTTGCATATGTGTCCAGGTCATTGATTTCTTGAAGGAAATCATCAAGTGTGATAAAAAGTATATTTTCTATTTTTCAGATGTATTAAATACTCCCTAAAATAGCTTTTTGGGCTTCCCTTGTGGCTCAGCTGGTAAATAATCCACCTGCAATGCGGGAGACCTGGGTTTGATCCCTGGGTTGGGAAGATGCCCTGGAGAAGGGAAAGGCTACCTACTCTAGTTTCTGGCCTGGAGAATTGCATGGACTGTATAGTCCATGGGGTTGCAAAAACTTGGACACCACCTTCTAAAAAGATTTTTTATTTATTTATGGCTACATTGGATCTTTGTTGCTACACACATGTTTTCTCTAGTTGCAGTAAACAGGGGCTACTCTCTAGTTAACGGTGTGTGACTTCTTGTTGCAGAGCACAGGTTCTAGGCACTTGGGCTCAGTGGTTGCGGCTCACAGGCTTAAAGCGTTGGGCTCAGTAGTTGTGGTCACAGGCTTAGTAGCCCCAAGGCAGATGGAATCTTCAGAGACCAGGGATTGAACTCACGTCCCCTGCACTGGCATGCAAATTCTTAATCATTGGACCATCAGGCAAGTCTTCTGAGATACTTTATGAGTCTTTCCATGGCTGCAGCAAATCACCTTTAAATAATTGCTCTGCAAAGAGTGATGCCCATAGCCATTGCTGTGGCTCTAAGAGGTGAATTTTCTAGTATCAAGCATTATCGCATTAGAGTGGAAGAAGCGACTCCCAAAACATGACTTGCCAAGTTAGGAAGAAAAGGGGCTCTCCACTCCGTGTGTTTACCAGACTGCTTCTTGTGGGCTGTTCCAAAACAGACTCGAGCTAATGAAAGTGAAGAGTATTTGCTGACCCATCAAATTTTGGTATGCTCAAACTCTTAAATATGTTTATTTAGATATTTGAGGAAAGGACTCAACTTGGAATGTGTTAGCACCCTGCATTAAAATTTAGTCTTATTTTTGGTTTTTTACATTTTGTTGTTTATAGGGCTCGTAGGTAAATTTGATTTATAAATGTTGTAATCCAGAACTAAGGTTTAAGATTTTAATTGCCCTTAAAATCTCATAGAATGATTCTGTATCCCTGGCTAACATAATTGTTACACATAGTTGCATTGTCATTTTCTATATCATAATGATTAGATATGATCATATTGGTTTCCTGGATATGATCATTTGCTACTAAGTAAATAAAACCAACATCATTGAAGGGATAATAACTAAGCATACGTGATAACTTTAATCCTGACCCCAGGTGTGAACATCACAAATGTCGTCCAGTGATAGAAGATCCAGGAATCGGGACAGACACTATGATGAGGTCCCAAGGGACTCAGACTATCCAGATGGCACTGTAAGAACCTTCCAGACTCTTCGAGACAGTGAGCTGGCCGTGAGCGCTGATCCATTGCCACCACCCCCTCTCCCATTACAGCCGCCCTTTGGCCCAGAATTCTACTCAAGTGACACAGAGGAACCGGCCATAGCGCCAGATCTCAAGCCTGTAAGACGCTTTGTCCCTGAGTCCTGGAAGAACTTCTTCAGAGGGAAGAAAAAGGACCCGGAGTGGGATAAGCCGGTGTCAGACATCAGATACATCTCCGATGGAGTGGAGTGTTCACCTCCAGCCTCGCCCACAAGATCAAACCATCGTTCACCCCCCAACTCCTGCAAAGATCCTCACAGCGGGTCCGAAGGCAGCTGGCGTTCCCGGAAAGAGACTGAGGCCATGTTTCCTCACGATCCCTATGGATCCCTAGGCCGACACACACACACAGCTCGAACCTACAGCGAGAAGGTAGAGGAGTATCACCTTAGGTATTCCTACATGAAGTCCTGGGCAGGCCTGCTTCGGATCCTGGGGGTGGCCGAGCTGCTGCTGGGGGCCGGCGTTTTCGCTTGTGTCACGGCGTACATTCACAAGGACAGCGAGTGGTATAACATGTTTGGATATTCACAGCCCTACGGCGTGGGTGGCCTGGGCAGTACCTATGGGGGCTATTACTACAGTGGCCCCAAAACCGCTTTTGTCCTTGTGGTTGCTGGCTTGGCCTGGGTGACCACCATCATCATCCTGGTGCTTGGCATGTCCATGTATTATCGGACCATTCTTTTGGACTCAAATTGGTGGCCCCTCACTGAATTTGGAATCAATGTCTCCTTGTTTATTTTGTACATGGCCGCAGCCATAGTCTATGTGAACGATACCAACCGAGGGGGACTCTGCTACTATCCGCTATTTAACACGCCAGTGAACGCAGGATTCTGCCGGGTGGAAGGAGGACAGATAGCAGCCATGATCTTCCTCTTTGTCACCATGATCGTCTATCTCATTGGTGCTTTGGTTTGCCTAAAGTTGTGGAGGCACGAGGCGGCTCGGAGACACAGGGAATACATGGAGCAACAGGAGGTAAGGGATTTCACCATCTTTGTTCTTTCTTTCTGCTATTAACTCCTTCCTTAAATACGTATAGTTCTCAAAACAAAGCTGTCATTGTTGTTTTTAATGGTCTGAAGTTCCAAAGGCTTCACTCAGTATCTGACATGCTCTGACCAGATAACCCACTCTGGCATGTCACTGTTGTGTAACGTTGCAAGCAGACCCCAGATATGTAATGTAATACATAGTTCGTTGGTTGCACTATTGTCTGTCCAATACGTAAGAGAAGACATAGCTTCTGAATTTCTATAAAGAAGAATAATAACATATTCAGTAAAGTAAATGTCCCATCATTAAGTTTAAGAACAATCTTGATTCCTTAGTATGGTAAGAGTTAATAAAAAGCATAATTGTTCAGTTACAAGAGGAAAGTGCTCCTTTAAATCTGTAATGAAATCTGAAACCCACTTTTCTTGGAGTTTACAAATTTATCTCAGTATTGTAAACATATTTTTAAGTTTTACATCTGTGTATGCAAAGTACAGAATTTTAAATTCTAATCAGTGTGAAATCAGATAGTGAAACACATCCTTATAATTTTATGTAATTTAATAATGAGTTCTTAATATCACTTCAAATTCTACATTATTATGGCTGTTATTCATATAATTCTTTTATTTCTTTTCCTTTTCTTAACAGAAGCTTGTTTTTATAAGGCTTTGCGTAAGGGTTGATTAAACTTGAATCACTTCTGATGCCTGTTTGTGTTTCTGTAACTTCCTAAATGTTAAGACATACTGGTGTGTAGCTTTTTTCTTTTAATTATAAAATTAATAATGTAACCACCCCAAACTCTTTAATTGTGTGAGGTAGTGGGAATCAAGAATAAATAAAATCTCTAGGTAGTTCAAGGCAACTCCATAATCATCGCCACCATCTCCTTATTGCCAGCTCTGCTTTCTAATCCTGATTGACAGGGAGTCACAGTTATTCCTCCTCCACTGGTCCATCAAAACGTGGCCAAAAGAGTCGGGAATCCATCTGTAGAGAATCAGTATCTATAAAATTGAAATTGGGCTATAAATGCAAAGGGACAAAACTATTTGTTCAGCAGCTTCACATACCTCTTAAAAGTCATTTTAACTTTCTGTTCCAGATAAGTGACCCATCATTGCCATCGAAAAGGAAAATGGTAAGAACAAAGTCCACACCATATTTTATCTCTAGATTTGTCAATTTTCTCTCTTGTCTATTTGTAGATCATCTGCCTGTAAAAGTATATCTATTGCATTAAGTTCATAATAGGACTTTTTAGCTTTTTTCTAATACTAAGAGGGTTAAATCAGACAAGGCTATTTGCAGTATCTTTTAATTTTGTTAGATGAAAGCTTCTGCAAGTGAACATAGTTGGTTCTTATTACATATTTAATTTTTTTTTTTTAATGAAGGCGACTCTCCCCAATTTTCTTCAGTGTCTTCAGCTCTTCCCCATTCTTTCCTATTCTTGTCATGTTGCTTTCAGATGCCAAATTTTGTCATGTTGGGAAAGAAGTCCCTATTCCACAATTTACTGTGACAGTAGACAAGACACTTACCTTCCCAGGCCTCAGTTTCTTCATCTGTAAAATTGAGATAATAATAATATCTACCTCACAAGTTTGCTTGAGAGGATTAACTGAGATGCTGTTATTATAATTATTTGTATATATAGAATAATTTAATATATTTTAATCATAATTTTACCTCATTGAAAAGTTCTTTTTTCAAGATATTGGGCATTCTCTTTTCCTATTTTGAGGGGTTGGGGGCCACATGGGATGCGGGATTTTAGTTCCTGGACCAGAAATTGAACCCATGCCCCCTATAGTGGAGGCGTGGAGTCTTAATCATTGGACCACTAGGAAAGTCCCTGGGCATTATTTCTAAGCAAGAAGTTAAGAATCCAACCTTCAGATTTGTTTGTTTCTTTAAAAAGGAAGTATATTCCCTTGATTCAAAGTTCAAAAGGATCTCTCACAAAGTCTTCTCCCATCCCTGTATGGTGGCTTCCCAGTTCTTCCGTGGAGGCAACCAGTGTTACCAGTATCCTGTGTCTCCTTTCAGAAGTGTGTTAGATAGATAGGCATCTATTTGCTCTACTCCTTCTTTTACACAAACGGTAGCATACCATACCTACTGTTATATCCCTTATTTTTTCACTTTAACAATGTATTTCTAAGATTTTTCCTTATTAGTACATAGAAAACTTCTGCATTCTTGGTTTATAACTACAGAGTATTGCATTTTATGGTTAGAATGTAATTCGTTTAGTCATAAAGTAACATGTAAGTTGTTTCCAACCTCTCACTATTAAAAATAGTGCTACAGTGAATAACCTTATACATACCACTACATACATATACATACTTCCTTTCATATATGTACAAGTACACTGAAATTCTGAGAAGTGAGTTTCTGGATCAAAAGGCATGTACATTTTTGTTTTGACTGCCAGATTGCCCAACAGAAGATCTACCAATTTCTATCCCCAACAGCACCACAGGCTTCCTCACACCCTCACCACACAGTGTTAGGAAATTTGTTAACATCTGTCAACCTGGTAGGTGGAAAACGTCACTAATGTAGTTGTAATTTGCATTTCTCTTATCAGGAGTGATGTTGAGCCTTTTTCATATGTTATGTTTGCATTTTCTTACCTATTAACTGTCTGTTCATATCTTGTCCAGTTTTTTTTAATCAGGTTGCTAATTTCTTTAAGTTCTTTTTTGTTAAGTGCATTCATTTTGAAAATACCTTTGATGAGGTTCTTTTTCACTTCTCAGTTATGTTATAACATACAAATATTAATACTATTTAAAGACATTTTGTTCATGCTGAATTAAGGACTTTATTAAGTGGATGAGCAACAGCCTGTCTCAGCAATTATGATTAAAACATTGGTGTCATCATTAATTCATTCATTGAACAAACACGTGACACGTTGTGGGCCAGCAATATGGATACAACAAGGGACATTATCTCCATTTCTCAGGGGCTTACAAATCTAGCTAAAAACACAGACAAGAGATTAATAGAGTGAGTGTGTGTGAGTGTGAGAGCAAGCAAGCAAGAAGTACAAAACTAAATAACTCACTTAACAGATTTGTGTTTCTATGTCATCTCCTCGGGAAATCAATTTATGAATGATAATATCTTAAATTCAACATTATTCATTAATCACAGCAACTTTGAGGATCTGTAATTAGCCATGGTTTTTAAAGGGTCAGTTGCATTAAATTATTGACACGTATATGAAGTCATCTGAATTACAACTGAGCCTTGCTGTGGTTTTCTTGGATATCCATAAATCTTTAGAAATCAAGGGATATCTGACCAGTCCTGACTGACCACGCATGGGGATAAGTGAGACTGATATTAATATTAATAGCTGATCCATAGAATATTAAAGAGTTTCTCTCTTACAGGACAGTGTGGACCTAACGTTACAAACCTCTACAGTTTAAACACTGTTCATAGAATAAAAAAAAAAACAAAAAACACTGTTCATAGAATCAGAGCAAGACTGCTTTGTGTGTGTGTGTGTGTGTGGCATTTAGATTGTTTTTTAATTGTACTTTGTTTTAACTTCCTGATTCCCTTGTGTTTTAGTTCATTTTAAATGTTCATTTATTTATTCAACATTAATTGCGTCAGGATGTACATTTCAGTTAGACTTGTGACTAACTCAGTGACTAACAATCAGAGTAAGCTAAATGGATCATCAGTTTTCTACAGAAAGAAGTTCTAAGTCTTTAAGTGTTGAGCAGATTTCTAAACTAGAAAAGTCAAAATCTAACCTGGAGAAGTTCCCTGGTGGTCCAGTGGCTAAGACTCCGCATTCCCAATGCAGGGGGTCTGGGTTCAATCCCTGGTCAGGGAACTAGATCCCACATGCTGCAACTAAGATCTGATACAGCCAAATAAATAAATAAATACTTTTAAAAAATCTAATCTGGGCATAAAAAGTAATAATTTGGGATTGGGATCTGTGCATCATAACATCAAATACACTTACAGGGAGGGACAGTCAGAAATTGAACAAAAGCACCTTGAAACACGTCTGACTCTCCCCATTTCTAACTTGACAATGTATTCATCCAGGCCATTTTTTATTTGAAAAACTTAGTAATTATATCCATAACATTACTTACCCCATGGCTTAATTGCTTTCTCTTGCCTCACAGCAAAGCTTTTCTGTGACAAGACTAATTTTTGCTAGATGCAGAGAAAGGTCGTGAAATCTGGGGCCATGTGTTTGTAATCTGGAGTACTGTTTGAGAGTGGTGTATCCCAGGGCTGGAGTCCAACTAACTTCCTTCCTGTGAAAGCCTGAAGAGGTTCTCATTTTTGTGTCATGTCTAGTTCTAGATTTTTTTTCCCCAGGAGATTTTCTGAACTGATGATCAGTGTGGTTCACCCAAAAAGAGTGAAAGAGAATGTTAAGAGCATAAAAACAGGGGGAAAAAATGTAAAGCAGATGAGATAGTCTGTGTGGAAATATTCTGAGTTCTTAGAACTCCTTTTTATATGAAAAGGTGACTCTTGGAATTAGGGACGGGCAAGTAAGGAAAATGAATAGCTTCAGCTTGAAAAAACTTGGTGACTGCAGCCATGAAATTAAAAGACGCTTGCTCCTTGGAAAAAAAGCTACGACCAACCTAGATAGCATATTAAAAAGCAGAGATGTTACTTTGCCAACAAAGGTCTGTCTAGTCAAAGCTATGGTTTTTCCAGCAGTCATGTATGGATGTGAGAGTTGGACTATAAAGGAAGCTGAGCACTGAAGAATTGATGTTTTTGAACTGTGGTGTTGGAGAAGATTCTTGAGAGTCCGTTGGGCTGCAAGGAGATCCAACCAGTCAGTCCTAAAGGAAATCAGTCCTGAATGTTCATTGGAAGGACTGATGCTGAAACTGAAACTCCAATACTTTGGCTACCTGATGCCAAGAACCGATTCATTGGAAAAGACCCTGATGCTAGGAAAGATTGAAGGTGGGAGGAGAAGGGGATGACAGAGGATGAGATGGTTGGATGGTATCACTGACTCGATGGGCATGAGTTTGAGCAAGCTCTGGGAGTTGGTGATGGACAGGGAAGCCTGGCGTGCTGCAGTCCATGGGGTCGCAAAGAGTTGGACACGACTGAGTGACTGAACTGACTGAGGGGGGACCCTCACATGGACTCTCCTGCCCAGCATGACTGCCTGGGTAGAATTCGTGATTTTGATCATGCAATGTGATCCTGCCCCAGGGCTGCTGACTAAGGGGGTCAGTCTGCTCCCTGGATGCTTCTCAGGCAGCTGTTGGGGAAAACAGGTTGTTAAATATTTAGAAGCTAAAAAGGGATGCCGTGAAATGGGAATTCACTTACTTAAGCCAAAAAATTTCCCCTGATTTTAATACCATGTTGGATTTTCAAGATTAAGCATTAAAGAATTCAATAGGATGAAGAAGTGGCCTTCTGACCAGCGAGGAACAAAGTGGAATAGATGCTAACCTCAGAAGATGTTTCCTGAAATAGTCTTGTTTGATCTCATTTCCTCTGGGTTTTCTGCTCTCCACTCGCATTCCTGCTGTTTAGGGCCAGTGGTTGGGCATCGTTTCTGCAGAGGAGCCCTTTTTCCCCTTCTGCCCAGCCTGGGTGCAGGCTTCCCATCTCGGTAGCACTCCCCCAGGGAGAGTCAGCAGCCTCCACGTCTAATCTGGGCTTATCCACGGGCTGCACTATTTGGTGAGTTAACAGTTGGAGGTTTCTAGCGTGAGTTAATGTTAAATGAGACCTCAAAGGCAGCCTCGGAGAGAGAAATCAGGAAACAAAGGATTTTCAAAGCTGCCTGACCAGGTAAAGAGCAAGGTTTTTAAATTCCCATTTCATATTTTGTTTTCAGTGGACTAGGGTCCCTCCCCAGCCACTCTCAGTTCATGGAGTTTTATTCAGCAAGCACGGGCCGAAGACCCAAGGGAGGCGTGGGGGGAGCTTGCTCTGTGTCGTGGAAAGCAGCGTGCCTTGCCCCCCGCTGCGCACCACAGCCTCATTTCTAGTGTGCTCCTTGGTCTTCCCTGGGGGCTCAGCGATTAAAGAGTACGCCCACAGTGGGAGAGCTGGGTTCGATCCCTGGCTTGGGAAGGTCCCCTGGAGTAGGAAATTGCAGCCCACTCCAGTGTTACTGCCTGGAGAATCCCCATGGACAGAGGAGCCTGGTGGACTACAGCCGGTGGGGTTGCAAAGAATTGGACACAGCTGAGCAACTAAGCATTGCCCAGCAACCAGAGCTTAGGGAACTTTAGGGTTGAGTGTATACATTTAAGTAAACTGATTTCCTCCTGTTATTCACTTAAAGAACCAAAAAGTCAAAAAGTGCTTTTTGAGGGTTTTTTCCCCTTGGCTGTGCCATGCAACTCGCAGGACCCGGGCTCTCAGCAGTGAGAGCAGTCTTAACTAGAAAAGGCAGGGTTTTCATCATCACTTTTCACTTCATAGCTGTGAGACCTTGAATTCACTGAATCTCTCTGTACCTTACTCCTTTATTTGTAATGTGGAAACCCTTCTCCCAGAATCCACCAGCCCTCCAGCTTGCTTGGTATTCTGGGCACTGCCCAGTGGGGCCCCCAAGCACTCTACTCCTTTTTCTTTTTTTAATGAGACTAGATTTTTTTTTAATTACTATTTATTTATTTTTGACTGTGCTGGGTCTTTATTCTTCTAAGAATAAAGTTGAGATTTTTTTGCTTTGTTTTTTGCTTTTGTTTGTAAATAAATCCTCTTTTTCTAACTGTAGTGTGATATGGCCACCAGTTGTGAGAGACAGAGAGACCAAGAAGTTAATTTTAAAGAACTAAGAGCAACAAAGATGAAACCTGAACTTCTGAGTGGACACATTCCCCCGGGCCACATCCCCAAACCGATCGTGATGCCAGACTACGTGGCGTGAGTATCTACTTTTCTTCAAGGTAGAGATAGCGAGGTTCCATTTGGAATTTCATTTTTCTGTTCATCTCCAAGTTAATACTCTGCTTAAAGTCAATTCTATTTGAACAGTTGTTTGTTTCCTGAGAGGTGGTATATTGAATTGAAGGTAAAGTATGGTCACTGAGGAATAAGGTAATAAGCTGATTTCCTGTTCCTCTTGTTTTAATGGAAAAGTTATCACTTTGATTTTATTTTCTTCCAATTTTGAGATATAAGTGACCTACAGCACTGTTTATGTTTAGCGTGTACAGTGTAATGAAATCACGAACTTACATGCATCATAAAATGATTGTCACAGTAAGTTGAGTGAACATCCATCATCTCATATAGATACAAAATTAAAGAAATGGAAAAAATTTTTTCCTTGTGATGAGAACTGTTAAGATTTACTCTTTTAATAATTGTCATATATAACATACAGCAATGCTAATTGTGTTTATCATGTTGTACATTGCATCTATAATATTTATTTATCTCATGGCTGAAAGTTTGTAGGTTTTGATGACCTTCATCCAATTTTATTTCCCTAAACTTCCTCCTCCCCTACCCCCGCCTCTGGTAACCACAAATCTGATCTCTTTTTCTGTGAGTTTGTTTTTGAAGCATAATTGACCTACAGCAGTATGTTAGTTCCTGGTACACAACATAATGGTACAATATTTCTATACTTTTCAAAATCATCGCCAGGATAAGTCTGTTTTCATCTGTCACCATACAAAGATACTACATAGTTATTGACTTATATTCCCTGCACTGGACATGTCATACCTGTGACTCATTTATTTTGCAGCTGAAAGTTTTACCTGTTAGTCTCCTTTACCGATTTCTTTGTTTCCCCCACCTCTCTCCTCTCTGGCAACCACTGCTTATAGGTGACTCAGATGGTTTTATGGCTTTTGTCTTTTAACCTTCCTACTAGCTTTATACAGGGCTGATTTACTACCTTTACTGTATTTTGCCTTTACCAATAAGATTTTTCTTTTTTTAATTTTCAGGTTTCTAGTTGTGGCCTTTTCTACTTAAAGAAGTTCCTTTAACATTTATTATAAAGCTAGTTTAATGGTACTAAATCTTATCTTCTGCTTGTCTGTAAAATTTTTTGTTTGTTTTTGTCTGTAAAATTTTTGATCTCTCCATCATATCTGAATGAAAGCCTTACCAGGCAGAATATTTCTTGGTTGTAGATGTTTCCCTATCATCAGTTCAGTTCAGTTCAGTTCAGTTCAGTTGCTCAGTCGTGTCCGACTCTTTGCCCTGTCATCACTTTGAATATATTCTATCACTCCCTCCTGGCCTGCAGAGTTTCTTCTGAAATGTCATGTGATTGCCTTATGCCAGTGATAAATTGTTGCTTCCCTCTGTTGCCCAGGCTAGGGAAGTTTTTAGCTATTATGTCTCTAAATATTTTTTCTGCCCTTTCTCTGTCTGTTCTCCCGGGACCCCTATAATGTGAATGTTAGTATTCATGATGTTGCCCCAGAGGTCTCCTAAACCATTCTCACATTTTTTTGTTAAATCTTTTTTCTGCTCAAGTGAGTGGTTTCCATTGCTCTGTCTTCCAGTTTGCTGATCTGTTGCTGTGTGTCATCTTATCTACTATTGATTCCTTTTTGGTAAAGAGTTTTCATTCCAGTTATTGTATTCTTCAGCTGTGCTTGGTGTCCTTTTTATTTTTTCACTCTTTGTGTAAAACTTCTAACTTCTCACCCTGTCCATCCACTCTTCTCCTGAGGTCTTTGAACATCTTTATGAGTGTAATCAGGTAATTTGCTTATTTCCACTTTACTTGGTTTTCTGGAGTTTTATCTTATTTCTTCATTTGGAACATAAGTTCCTGTAGCTTAATTTTGCCTAATTTGCTGTTTCTGTTTCAGTGTATCTGGCTGGTTGGTTTTGTTTCTTGACCGTGAAGTGACGGCTTTTTGTATAAGATGTCCTGTGTGTCCCCGCAGCGCACTCCCCTCCACTCACCAGAGCTGCCTGCTCTCACGGTCGCCTCTGCAGGCTGCGTGGGGCCTGCTCTTACGGCAGGCTGACTGCCGAGGGTGGTCTGACAGGCGTGGCTGCTCCTAGTCCTCTTGCCAGGCCCGGCCTTGTGTGGAGGTTGCTGGCCCCTGGTGGGTGGGGCTGGGCCATAAGGTTGGTGCCCGTGAAGTCCTGGGGGGTCCTGGGGCTAGTGTTGGTCCACAGATGGGCAGAGCTGGTTTCAGGGCTGGTGGTGGCAGCCTTGGGGAGCCCACATCTAGGGTCAGCCTGCTTGAGTGAGGCCAGCTCCTGACATGGCTGGCTGTGGGGTCCAGGGTGTCTCAAAGCTGGTGTCTGGTCCCAGGGCAGCTGGCTTAGGGGCCCAAAGTGTCTCGGAGCTGAGGTTGGTCTTCTGGTGCTGGTGGGTATGCCAGGGTCTGGCAGGGGATGGGTTGGGGAGGGGGGAGGTTAGTCCCGTGACTTCAGCCTGCCGATGGGAAAGCTGGGGCTCAAGGGACCCCAAGGGTAGTGCCAGTCAGCTGGTGGGGTGGCGCCAGGTCCCGGGGTCCTGGAGTTGGTGTGCGCCCACTAGTAGGTGGGGCTGGGTGCTGGGGCTGGTGCTGGCCCACAGGTAGACAGAGCTAGGTCCTGGGATCTCTGGCTGCAGGGTCCAGGGGTCCTAGAGCTGGTGTTGGTCTTCTGGTGGACGGGCCTACCTGGCCCCCTAGTGAGTGGTACTGTGACCCCACCTGGCTAGCTGCTGGGCCTGAGGCATCCCAGTACAGGTGCTCACAGGCTGGTGGCAGGGCCTGGTCCCTGTGCCAGTGAGCCAGAGGGAGGGTTACAGAATGGCACTCCAGGGCACCAGTGTCCGCGTGGTAGAACGAGCGCCACAGAATAGCTGCTGTCAGTGACCGTGTCCTCAGGCTGAGTTCCAGTTGCCTCTTGCCTGTCTGGGAGGCTCTCCAGGATCCGCGATGGGTCTGACCCAGTCGTCTTTCAACTTACTGCTTCCGCTCTGGATCCAGGAGTGTGTGAGATTTTGTGTGCATCTTTTAAGGGTAGAGTCTATTTGCCACAGCCCTCAGAATCTCCTGAGGTAAGGCTCACTGACCTTCAACACCAAATATTCTGAGGCCTTGTGTTCCCAGTACAGAGGAGCCCAGGGTGGGGCTCAGACCCCTCACTCCTTGAGCAGATCTTCTGCAATTGTAGTTAATCCTCCCATTTGTGGGTTGCCCATCCAGGGGTATGGGTCTTGACTTTACTGATCTGCCCTCCCACCCATCTTGTTGTGGTTGCTTCTTTAGTAAGCATCTTTAGTTGTACAAGATACCTTCTGCTAGTCTTCTGGTCTTTCTCATCAATAGCTGCTCTCTAAATAGTTGTGATTTTGCTGTGGCCATGGAAGGAGGTGAGCTCGGGCTCTTCCTACCCCACCATCTTGGCCACACTTCAACTTTGGGGTATTTTTTTTCCTTAGGAAATACCCTATGATTCAGACAGGTGATGAGCGAGAACGCTATAAAGCTGTGTTCCAGGACCAGTTTGCAGAGTACAAAGAACTCTCCGCAGAAGTTCAGGCCGTCCTGAGGAAATTTGACGAGCTGGATGCCGTGATGAGGAGACTGCCGCATCATTCAGAAAACCAGCAGGTGAGGGCCTGCACTGCTGGGGAGGAGTTCCGACGGAGGAAGGATGAGTTCTGACTTTGTCCGAAATGTAGAAAAGGCATAACCACATGCATCTGCTGTCTGGGGAAGTCATTTGAGATCTTCAGGGTGACAATTCGAAGTATATCCTTTAATGTCTTTTGCTTTCGATTATTAAACAGTATTTTATTTTCCTACTTAAGTAAAATATGAATTTGCCTTAGGTACATACTGAGTCAATTAGGGTGCCAGAGGAGACAGACAGCACACTCAGACCAAGATAGTTTGAGGAGGGTTTATTCACAAATGGTGGATGGAGTGTAGGGGAGCCGCCAGGGGCCTTGATTCTCCAGGGGAAGTCACAGCTGAGCATTTAGCACCCCAGGCCCAGAGAGCGCAGCGGGTAAGGGTGGAGCATGGATCTGAGGCTGCACATGTGAGCTGCAGGGCTCGTGCCTCAGCCCGATGACCGTGGTTATGGCAGAAAGGAAAACGAGGGTGGAGACGGCAGTCACAGGAGACCCATACTTTAATGTTTTGTCTTTTTCACATTTTAATATCTGGGAAATTAGGATGCCCTCATAATCAATGGCATTTTTTTTAACCTGACATGCATTTCTTTCATTGAAATATAATTCACGTAACATAAATTCATTGCTTTTAAGTGTCGATTCAGTGGGTTCGTTTTTTTGTTTGTTTGTTTTTGTGGGGTTTTTTGGCTATGCCATACAGCCTGCAAGATCCCAGTTTTCCTGATCAGGGATTGAACCCACTCCCTCAGCAGTGAAAGCTCAGAGTCCTAACCACTGGACTGTCAGGAAACTCCCTGGTTGGGTTTAATATATTCACAAAGTTGTATAACCATTACCACTCTAATTCCAGAACATAGTTATTACCCCCCCCCCAAGAAAAAAATAACCCATACCTCTTAGTACTCATTCCCCATTTCTCCTCTCTCCAACCACTGACAACTGCTGATGCTTTCTGTCTGTATGAATTTGCTTGTTTTGAAGACTTCAGTGCGGTAATATGTGTGTGCATGCTCTGGCACTCAGTCGTGTCCAGCTCTTTGCAACCCCATGGACTGTAGCCCACCAGGCTTCTCTGTCCACAGAATTTTTCAGGCAAGTTTGCTGCAGTGCGTTGCCATTTCCTCCTCCAGGGGCTCTTCCCAACCCAGGGATCAAATGCACATCTGCATTAGCAGATCCTTGACCACTGTGGCACCTGGGAATTGGGCTCTAATACCTGGCTGCTTTTGTGTAGCCTCATGTTTTCAAGGTTCATCAATGTTTGGTCAGAAATCAATACCTCATTATTTTTGTGGTGGAATAATAATACTCCTTTGTATGAATATACCGCATTTTCTTTATCCATTTATCAAACAGTGGACAGTGGATTGTTTCCATGTTTTGGCTGTTATAAATAATGCGGCTCTGCACATTTGTGTGTAAAGGAGCACATACGTGTAAAGGAACGTTTATCCTTTATAAAAAGAGTGTACTAATCTAATCTACCACTTGTGTCACTGAAATTTTTAAAACTCATACAGCATTTTTTAATACAGCCCCATATTATATGGGGCTTCCCTGGTGGCGCTAGTGGTAAAGAACCTGCCTGCCAAAGGAGGAGACATAAGAGTCACAGCTTCAACCCCTGGGTCAGGAAGATCCCCTGGAGAAGGACATGGCAACCCACTCCAGTATTCTTGCCTGGAGAATCCCATGGACAGAAGAGCCTGGAGAACTACAGTCCATAGGTTTGCAAAGAGTTGGACACAACTATAGCAGCTTAGCACACACATTCATATTTTATATGTAGATATGCGTATTCTTCTCCTGTGACCTCTGTTAGTTGGGCATCTTTGTTTTGACCAGACTTTAACACATACATTTAAATGAGTTATGAGCTCTCCAAGCCAAATGTGTAGAGTAGTGACATTTTCCCAGTCTTGGAGTGATGGAAAGGTGTTGCCTAAGAGACACCTGTACCAGGAACCAGGAGGAATCCAGCACGTAAGGCAGGTCCAGGATCAGTTAGTACCATTTGGTGAACAGTCAAGGTCCACAGTTCCAAGAAGGGTGACCAAGTTTAGATGAGGAAGGGAGGAGCAGGTGCCAAGCATCTAGATCAGTGCAGGTTGGGAATAGCAGGCTGGTTGACAGACAGATGTCAGGAAACCCGACCATCTTGTGTGGTCTTGAAGCCCAGGCCCAATGGTCTCGGGTTTGTAGGCTTTGTATGAGTGAACAGGGCTCAGGCATGTGGGTCTGCAGTTGGCGGGGTGGGAGGGTCCTGATTACAGCAGGCAGAGAGACTGAGTGCTCCAATGATAATCCCACAGAGTATCGACAGTAGTCATTTCCTCTGGTTTGGCAAGTAAGTAGCCAAACGACAGGGCCGCACTTAGTCTCCCTGTCTCCTCCAGGCTTTATCCAAAGTGGAGATATTAGTTGTATCACTAAAGTGAACTTCTGGTCCACAGGCTGAACTTTGCATGGGCAGGAGTCTGCCAGCCAGGCCTATTCATCTCCCAGCGTGTACTCAGTACTCAGTACCCAGTGTACTATTGAGACATTGTTTTTTTTTTTTCTCTTGCCCTGCTGGATCTTGGTTGGCTTTCTCTAGTTCCGGCGAGCGGGGGGGCTTACTCTCTAGTTGCGATGCCCAGGCTTCTCATTTCAGTGGCTTGTCTTGTTGCAGAGCACGGGCTCTAGGGCACCTGGGCTTCCGTAGTTACAGCACTCAGGCTCAGGAGTTGTGGCACACGGGCTTAGCTGCTCTTTGCGGCATGTGGGATATTCCCAGACCAGGGATCGAACCCATGTCCCCCTGCATTGGTAGGCAGATTCTTAACCACTGGACCACCAGGGAAGTCCACTTGAGATACGATCTGAGTAACTGCAAGTATTTTCATTCACATGTACAATATATTATTTTTAGGAACACGAGAGAATTTCAAGAATCCACCAAGAGTTTAAGAAAAAAAAGAATGTGAGTAAAACCATTTCCTTCTTATGGTGTATCCTTATCCAGGTGCAGTGGTGATGACTGACAGTCTTCAGATTGTTGTAGCTAATGTAGTTCTTGTTTTGCATTTCTTAAGATGCTCCTTGTTAGGAACCACGGGTGACTGCTGGGCGCCCTTGTTCTCTCTGCCCTGAGCACCTTCTGCTGTGTCCTGCTTTAGGAAGCCAGGGAAATGAGCCCCCGTACAGGGCTCTTCACCCACATTTCATTCACAAAGATTTAAGTTCTTTTACAGGTTTCTAATTCCATCCCTAACTTAATTGCACAAATCAGTAGAGGCTGAGGAGTGCTTTTATTAATCCATGGTTTACTCTTTAATGTATTCTAAACTACTCAAGGGCACGTCAGCTCTCTACTTCTGACTCAATTTTGCCATGAACCAAAAGCTGTTCTAAAAAATAAAATCTACTGAAGTACATGTAGAGAACTTCTATTATTCTAGTTGGGCAGATTTTGAAATCTGCCATGAAAGGCCATTTTCTGGGTAATAATGTGTGTTTCTATGGTTTTCACTGAGGAAGCCAGTGGCTGACCTAACAGCTATGTTTCTTTTCCAGGATCCTACATTTCTAGAAAAAAAAGAACGCTGTGATTATCTGAAGAATAAACTTTCTCACATAAAGCAAAGGATTCAAGAATATGATAAAGTAATGAATTGGGATGTACAGGATTATTCTTAAAACTTCTTTGAAACCAACTTTTTTATATCATGCTTAATATTTATTTACTATCTTTTTTTATGCTGGTGTCTGTGATAGAGAAGCAAGTGCCTTATGAATAGGCTTCTGGTTGGTTTAGCTGGTATGTCACATTAAGACAGTTTGTGATTGCATTTCAGACATTTCAAAACAATTTCAAGGACCTTTACTGAGAGTGGAAGAAGTTCTCCTTGTGGTGTGATGATCGAGTGAAGTTATCAGTCTGGTGCTGCTCTTTCCTTTTTAACTTAGGCCGGTTCCCGGGACTTTTTAGGACAAATGTCTCATACTAGCCAAAGATGTCAGTTCTTCTCTTGAAAGGGGTTTGAATCCAAGATCACCATTTTCAAGCCTTGTGACCGTACCCAAGTTGCTTAATCTGCCTGTGTGCGTTTCCTCGTCTGTAAATGGGGCAAATTATAGTACCTACCTCACAGGGTTGTTATGAGGATTAAATGAGTTAATGTTTGTAAGCACTTAGGGCACACTGTTAGCGCTGCACTAGTGTTTGTGAAATACAGACCTGTTTGTGGAGTGAATAATCTACTAGAATAAGTCTCAAAGAAAGGACCTTAATGAGCAAGTCCAGCCAGCCAACCCAAGGCCGTGGCCTATAACTCTTACACATGTTGCCTTAAATAGATGCTTCCCTGTGGCCCTGTGCCCACTGGGGTCCGATGCAACCTTCTTACCTTTCTTTAACCAACATCACTGTGTACACACCTTCATGTTCCCACAGCCCAGCCATTCCTCTAAACCTCAAATAGAAAGACCGAGCGTTTACTGTTTCTTTTTCTGTCCTGTTTAGACGTCCATCCTAAGGCCCCGAGATGTTACATCTTACTTAGAATCTCCCTTCGCTTTATTGGAATGCTTCATTATCCCAAGAATTAGCTTGACTTTAAGGCTTTATTCATGAGAAATGTTTTATTTTTGTTAATGTGAACAAGAGACTGCCTTAAAAATGTTTTTTAAAAAATCATTGTTATTGGATCCTATTCAGCAGCATCTATCTTGTAGATTATTTCCCAGGTGCAAAAGTACAAGTGAAATTATTAGTCACTCAGTCGTGTCCAACTCTTTGTGACCCCATGGACTGTAGCCCCCCAGGCTCCTCTGTCCATGGAATTCTCCAGGCAAGAATACTGGAGTGGGTTGCCATTTCCTTCTCCTGGTGAGAAGGAAGTAAAGAAGTAGTAGGAAGTAAGTAAGTAGTAAGACATAAAACCAATGCTTTGGAAAGATAAAATGAAGGAGCAGCAAAAATGTTTAGAAAAGAGGAGACCAGGTGGGAGAATGCAGCAAATCAGAAATACAATGTTGGCTTCATATAGCTGCCATTCAAATAATTAACCCTCGAGGAATTTTCTAAGGTGGTAAAACCAAAGAAAAACATGTGGAAAAGCAAAGGTTTACAAAGTGTTGGTTCCCAAATAAGTTTTCTAGTTCTTCTTTGTCAGTGAGATCTTGTTTAGTGTATATTGTTAATATTTTCAGTCCTCAGTTCTCAGACAATGCTTAGGGTGCTACGAGTCTTAAGAAGTGATACTGAGGGAAGTGTGAGGCCCCCTTGGAAACCCTCCTCATGAACTGGAACAGCTTTACTTTCTGTTTTATATACTGGGGTCCCATGTTAACATTTCACTTAAGAAAAACACTGATGCTTAAAAAAAAAAGATGAAATAATACCATTTTGATAAACTATAAAGAGATTAATACTGAAATGAAGTGTCAAGGAAATTTAACTTTGTGAAACTATATTTTACTATAATTGTAAATGTTAATCTTTGAAAACCCATGTTATAATGTTGATTTTTGCAGTTTTTATGTAAATACGTAGGTTTATTAAAATTTCAGTTACCTGTTGTTTTGTGTGTGCCCTTTGTTGTTTACTTTGCTAGCATTCCTGAGTTGACTGGGCATGTTCTTGAAAATATTTTCCATTATCAGAAACTAAACTGGAAAGTCATTGAAAGCTTGTAGGTCACAGTGCTCAGGTGACCATTTACTCCTCCCCCACTATGTGCAGGAATTCAAAGCCAAGGCCGCTGTTGGTTTCCTCAGGCCGCCTGCTTTAACTGAGTACCACAGGCCTAAAACAGCAGAAGTGTGTCTCATGGTTCTGCAGGCTAGAAGTTGCAATCGAGGTGTCAGCGTGACTGAGCTCCCCTGAAGCCCGTAGGGGACTCCTTCCCGCTTCTGATGCTTTTGGCTGGCTGGCCTTGGCCCTCCTTGGCTTATGTAGATATCCCCTCAACCCTCTGTCCTCACACGGCCTCCTCCCTGAGCCTGTCTTCACACGGCCGTCGCTTCCGATCGGGGACCCACACTCTCCAGCGTCACTTCGTCTTAACTAATTATACCTGCAGAGACCCTGTGTGCAAACACTGTCACGTTCTGAGGTCCCAGAGATTAGGACATCAACCTATCCTTTTTGGGGGGGACACAGTTCAACACATAACAGCCACCTTGAGCAAGCTGTGAGGTTCAGAAAAGAGAGTTCCCCGTACATTTTTTATTTTAGCTGACTTTTGACATGTATTCTATTTTGAAACAGTATGAGAACATATCAGTATATCTAAAATTTGAAAGGAGAAAAGTATACATCCTTCACTCATTCATTTGCCAGTTATATGCCAGGTGCCTTCATTGGCCAGATGTTCTAGTACTGAAGATTTGGTAGTCAGTAAAGAAGGCAGAGACCCTTGTCTTAACAGGAGATACGAATGAGAAGACAAAGGGTTGGTGATGAAGTATGCATTTTTCTTATGTGCATTTCTAGAAATGGTCTGTATAGCCTGATACTGAGATGCTCCAATGTTTAAAAGATAGACAATATAGGGAAAAAATATAGTTTTTTCTGATGCATGTATTTTAAAATTAAAAAATTTTAAAGGAAAAAAAAAACTAATAGATACAAAAGCTTAGAAAATGGAAGTCCTGCCATGCTGGTAATATATACTGTTTGGAATATATTCTTCTAGTCTTTTTATAACACAGGTAATCATTTTAAGTGGTCTCCTTTAATACCATAAGTCTATGTTTTTTTGTTTTCTTTTTTTTTCTCATTTATTTTTATTAGTTGGAAGCTAATTACTTTACAATATTGTAATGGGTTTTGCCATACATTGACATGAATCAGCCATGGATTTACATGTGTTCCCCATCCTGAACCCCACTCCCGCCTCCCTCCCCATCCCATCCCTCTGGGTCTTCCCAGTGCATCAGCCCCGAGCACTTGTCTCATGCATCCAACCTGGGCTGGTGGTCTGTTTCACCCTTGATAGTATACTTGTTTCAGTGCTGTTCTCTCAGAACATCCCACCCTCGCCTTCTCCCACAGAGTCCAAAAGTCTGTTCTATACATCTGTGTCTCTTTTTCTGCTTTGCATATTGGGTTATCATTACCATCTTTTAAAATTCCATATATATGCGTTAGTATACTGTAATGGTCTTTATCTTTCTGGCTTACTTCGCTCTGTATAATGGGCTCCAGTTTCATCCATCTCATTAGAACTGATTCAAATGAATTCTCTTTAATGGCTGAGTAATATTCCATGGTGTATATGTACCACAGCTTCCTCATCCATTCGTCTGCTGATGGGCATCTAGGTTGCTTCCATGTCCTGGCTATTATAAACAGTGCTGCGATGAACACTGGGGTGCACGTGTCTCTTTCAGATCTGGTTTCCTCGGTGTGTATGCCCAGAAGTGGGATTGCTGGGTCAAATGGCAGTTCTATCTCCAGTTTTTTAAGGAACATAAGTCTGTTTTTAAAAAGCGAGTCTGGGAGGCTGCACCGGCGTGTGGTAAAGCAGCTCTCCGACGTTAGAGCAGATACGCTGAGTCAGAGGAAGGTAGAAGAGCCCGGCAGAAGGGGGAGGTGGGCTTCGAACCAGCAGCAACCAAGCCCCCGAAATTTCCTATGTGATCTTGACAAATGAACCTGAGCGTCAGCCTCCTTATCTATGATGGGATAATATTACTACCTGAAGATACTGTTACCAAAATTAAATGAAATAATGTTAGTAACATTTCAAGAAGATGCTTGTTCAATTAGTGGTGGCTAGATACTCAAACTATACTTTTCACGGAGTTAGATAATAAGCTATCTGTTTTAAAGGTAGAATATAAAAAATGACTTAATGATAAAAGGTTTTTTCAGGAAGTATGGGTAATGTGTTAACTGTAGAAAATTTAGAAAATGATAATAAGCTTATGCACTTCCTCCCAAGCTCACACAAATAAAATTACCCATAATTTTGATCCCCCAGGATAGTCACTGTTTACATTTGAGATCATATCCTTCCATTCTCATCTTATACAAGTGTATATGTAAGCATGTAAAGAAAGAATTGTGGTATTGACAAAACCAGTTTATTATGTAGTATGCTGTTTTACATTTTACTTAATAAAACATGTAATTTTTCTGAATTTAGAGTTTTTCTGTTTTCTGTTTCATTTTAATGCAATGCAGTTATCATTGTTTCAAAGTGATTAATGTTCATATTGTATGGTGGGAAAATAAAGAATGGGAGTTAGGTCTAGATTCAAGCGGTGTGGCCTCAGGCAAGTCACTAAACTCTGAGCAATGAAATTAGATGAGACAAAAGTACCTGAAATAATTTTGTAAACCATAAATCTCTGTGAAAATCCTTAGTTTGTTTTTATATATTTTTTGTTCTGATAATGTCATCAACAAGAACTTTTCATTAGTAGTTTGCAGTGCATGTGTGCTCAGACGTGTCAGGCTCCACGATCTCATGGACTGTAGAATACTTCCAGGCAAGAATACTGGAGTGGGTTGCCATTTCCTTCTTCAGGGGATCTTCCTAGCCCAGGAATCGAACCTACATCTCCTGCACCTCCTGCATTGGCAGGAGCCACCTTTGGAAGTCCAATAAGCATATTTATTACATAACCAGGACTTCTTTGGAGGTCGGTATATTCTGGTACAGCCAGAATGTCCTTCACATATACAG